TGCTTGAAAGGTGCCAGCCCAAACGTGAACCACATTTTGGGCCTTGGGGATAGCGGTTTCTATTCTGTAGGGGGCATGATTCCTAATCACTCTATAGTGGATTATTTTTTAGAAGCGGTGGGTATGAGGCTGGGTTTTCATTTTAAAGGAGTGGAAGGGGAGGTGTCAGTGGGCAATAATATTGTAAATGCTGTATGATATTGTAAAATATTGAAATATACTGCAAACAAATAAGTGGCCAACACTGTTAACGAATCAGTTTTGTGCAGGGTTGCTCCTTCAAAATGGAGATCCAGCCACTCTTCTAAAAATGGTTCCCAAGGATTTTTTTGCTTGAAAGGTGCCAGCCCAAACATGAACCACATTTTGGGCCTTGGAAATAGCGGTTTCTATTCTATAGGGGGCACCTAATCATTGGGACCCAGTTTTTCATTTTATAGTGGAGTATTTGCTAGAAGCGGTGGGTATGAGGCTGGGTTTTCATTTTAAAGGAGTGGAAGGGGAGGTGTCAGTGGGCAATAATATTGTAAATGCTGTATGATACTGTAAAGTATTGAAACATACTGTACACAAATAAGTGGCCAACACTGTTAACGAATTATTTTTGTGCAGGGCTGCTCCTTTAAAATGGAAATCCAACCACTCCTCTTAAAATGGTTCCCAAGGATTTTTTTGCTTGAAAGGTGCCAGCCCAAACGTGAACCACATTTTGGGCCTTGGAAATAGCGGTTTCTATTCTAGAGGGGGCATGTTTCCTAATCATAATCACTGGGACCCAGTTTTCCGTTCTATAGTCGGTAATTTGTTCCAAACGGTGGGTATGAGGCTGGGCTTTCATTTTATACGAGTGGAAGGGGAGGTGTCAGTGGGCAATAATATTGTAAATGATGTATGATACTGTAAAATATTGAAACACACTGCAAACGAATAAGTAATCAACACTGTTAACGAATCAGATTTTAGCAGGGCTGCTCCTATAAAATGGAAATCCAACACCACTTCCAAAAAATTGTCCCCATGATTTCTTTTCTTGAAAGGTGCCAGCCCAGATCCAAATGTGAAACCACATTTTGGGCCTTGGAAATAGCGTTTTCTAGTCAGTAGGGCACTCCTGGATCATCTTTTGGAAGTAGTGGTCAGTGCCCGGCTGGGTTTTCATTTTATAGGAGGGGGAGGGGGGAGTGTCAGTGGGCAATGATAGTGCAAATTAAAGTGTGCAACAGAAAAAGTAATCATTACTGTTAACGAATCAGCTTTTAGCAGGGCTGCTCCTATAAAATGGAAATCCAGCGGGACTTCCAAAAAATTGTCCCCAAGGATGTTTCTTTTTTGAAAGGCACCAGCTCAGATGGCGCTCAGATCCAAATGTGACACCACATTTTGGGCCTTGGAAATAGCGTTTTCTAGCCAGTAGGGCACTCGTGGATAATCTTTTGGAAGTAGTGGTCAGTGTCCGGCTGGGTTTTCATTTTATAGGAGGGGGAGGGGGGAGTGTCAGTGGGCAATGACAGTGCAAATTAAAGTGTGTAACAGAAAACGTAATCATTACTGTTAACGAATCAGTTTTTAGCAGGGCTGCTCCTATAAAATGGAAATCCAACACCACTTCCAAAAAATTGTCCCCAAGGATGTTTCTTTTTTGAAAGGCACCAGCTCAGATCCAAACGTGAACCACATTTTGGGCCTTGGAAATAGTGTTTTCTATTCAGTAGGTTTTTTTTCTTGACCACTAGGACCCAGTGTTTTATTCTATAGTGTGTATATTATGTGTTTATGTATTTCAGTATTTCTATAGTGGTTTGTCAGTGTCAGGCTTGGTTTTCATTTTATAAGAGTGGCAGGGGGCTTGTCAGTAGGCAAAATAATAGTGCGTATACATGCGTATAACTTTTTTAAATATATATAGATAGATATAGATAGATAGATAGATAGATAGATACATAGATAGATACATAGATTTATTTATATATATATATATTGTAATATATACACATCATTATATGAATGTTTCTGAGGCTGGCCATGCTGAGGCACGGCTCCTCTTGGATCAGTTCCTATAAAATGGTAATCCAACCCCCCCTCTGTAAAATAGTCACCAAGTATATTCTTTTGTGGAATGGTGCCAGCCCAGATCCAAAAAGTGAAACCAAACTTAAGGCATTGCAAACCCAGTTTTCTATTCTATAAGGTGTCTTTTTCCTAATCACTGGGACCCAATTTTTCATTCTATAGTGGATTATTTGTTCCAAGCGGTGGCCAGTATAAGGCTGGGTTTTCATTTTATAGGAGTGGCAGGGGGTTGTTGGCTTTCTTGGGTTTCTATTCTATAGGGAAAATCACCCCCCCTTAGTCCTGGGTTTTCGTTTTAGTCCCTATAGAATGGAACCCCAGGTTTGGTCCGAATTCCAACAGGGATATGTTTAACCATTCGCTCTTTGCCATGAGTCCGTGTTCCTAAAGCAACTAGGCCAACGAAAGGTGATTAGTCCCTTCATTGGAAAATTAAGTTCCGCATTCATGTGCCTAACATTTATGCATACTACATTCATTGTTTTTCAGGTTCCACTCTCTTTGAGCTAGAGCTCCCAGAAGGCTCAGAAGCGGAAGGATTCTCAACAGGCCCTTCTCTCCAGGTTCAATCTCCGACACCAAGATAGGCTCGGGACCACCTGAAGCTTCCTCATTTTCGGATGTTTCATCCAGTACCCACCTGCCGTCAAGGGGCAAGAGGGTTCTGGCCAAATTCTTCGCCCACTTCACCACATCCGGGTGGTCTTCCAAAAGCTGGTTTTAACAGCTGTCATCGAGGCCAGTGTTCTTCTCCCCGTGTCTCTTGTCGGTGAAGTCTCAGGATTCAATGGCCAGCAAATCAGTACTGACCATGGTCGTGCTAAGGCATCTTGTGTCATGCATGTCATGCATGCCACTTATGCTCATGCCACCTGATGTCATGTCATGTCATCCTAACAACTCATGGCAAGTCATGTCATTGTGTCAAACCGTGCCATGCCATGCCATGTCATCATGTCAAACCGTGCCATGTCATCATGTCAAACCATGCCATGTCATCATGATGTATGGCCATGCAATGCCAACACATGAATGCCAACACAACTTCATGCAATGTCATTTCAGGATACGATGAGGGAAGAGAGTGTCCGCATACACTTCCAGGATGACAAACTCTGCGTGGTCCGAAGCCTTTGGATGAGGTACAAGTGCTCTGCGGAAGCCTCACGAGCTCTAATGAAAATGACATGACCGTGTGTATTGGCCCCAAAGTCATGCACATGATTGCGGTGCCCAACCTAGATATCAGATCATCACACAGCATATCCTAGCACATGCAAAAACAAGCAACCATGGCACAACGCCACCCAAAAAGAAGTCATTCGCCCCCACCCCGTTTGGAAGTTGAGCACCAAGGCACCGTCAGTTGAGTTCCCCCTCAGAGACCATAGGCACTGTCACATCCCGTCAATACTTGCCGAACAACAGGCCATGCTACAGGTCATGTGACAGCTCATGTGACAGGTCATGTACAGGTCATGTGGCATGGTCATGTCAGGTCATGAGTCCATGGCAATTGCAAGTCAAGCTACTGTCCGTGAAATCCACGGTACTCAAACTTGCGACCACATGCTATGAGCTGGATAGTCCCATAGGTAGTCCCAGTGGAACCAGCCGCCATGGAAGATGTGAGAGAACTTTGCTCTTAGTCGACGTGCACGGCCAACAGTCAAAAAAAATGAACAGTGACAAATCAGTGACAAATTGGTGCGGGGATATATTGACTGAGAACTATTAGAATCAACACATCAACACAAGATGCCATGCAAGCCTGTTGGGCCTGTTGAGCGGAATGGCGTGTCGGGGTCGCAGCAGGATTACAGTACAACATGATTGCGGTGCCCACACGGCTTCTTCGACCAAGGTAAACAGGTCAGGAGCACTAATCCGGCCAAAGTTCAGCTGAAGTGTTTGGCTGCACGGCCCAGCTTTTGAACCACTGGACATGGCATGGCAACATAGATGCATGGTGACATGGCAATCCCCGACATGTATTCCATGCATGCCATGACATGGCAATCCCCGACATGTATTCCATGCGTGCCATGCCATGCCCTAACATGACAAGCCCCTGACATGTATTCCATGTCATGCCATGACATGACAAGCCCCCGACATGTTTTCCATACATGCCATGCCATGCCCTAACATGACAAGCCCCCGACATGTATTTCATGCATGCCATGTCATGCCATGACATGACAAGCCCCCGACATGTATTCCATGCGTGCCATGCCATGTAACATAACTGGACATGACAAACCATGTAGCCCATGAATGCCATACCATGAGAGACCCTCCAAAACCCCCCACCTCATGACATACCTTTCCAAACCACCCCCCCACCCAGCATCAAAAAAGTTTTGGCATCATTTTTTGCAGATTTCTTCATGTAACTGAATTACGAAACGTTCTTGATCTATTGCCCTGAAAAACGTACACAAACTATTACATTTTAATGTCCAGCTGAGTACTATATAATCAGTTTGTTATTTAAAAAAAACAAATAAATTGCTTTTATATACATATAAAATAAAAATGTGGCAAGCGGAATTTCATAAAACATCCCCAAGTAATCACCATTTTTACAGCTGGTATGCTTACCATCCCCGTCCATGGTTTATGGCACCGCAGTGACGGCCTCCAATCGTTCGCCTCCCACTGCACAAGCATGTATACAGCCTCGAGACGCAGCTTGCTCGGGTACCACCAGTGGCTAAGCCATTTTTGACATCCTGAATGTCTAGGGATTTTTCAAATACCCCCCTCGCAGTACACCCTACAATCTCCCTAATTAGTGCCATTTAGCATTATTTCTCACGAAGTCGCTCGACCACGCTCGAATTCGATCGAACTAATGGGTATGATGACTGTATTTTGGGAGCCAAATTGCTGGGCCATATCATGCCGGCCCCGCTTTCCTGCTTCTCTCACGTGAGCCACCGTTCTGTGCCAGCGGCTGCTACCAGGTTATAGCTCAACAAGTACACAAGGACATTTGGAAGTGGCGGAATACGCCCTGAGCCCGACATATCCATTGATGTGTTGGATTTATCGCCAAATAAAGAGAAAAGAAGGTGTAATCTCAGGGCGTATCTCAGAAACTCCCAGAGAATGGGATTGTGTATATATATATATATATTTAGCGATATATAGCGCCATGGCAATATCAAATACGCCCAAGGTGAACCAATGTGATCCCAAGATTCAATAGATGAATCAGGATAGATAACCGATAACAGCTGGCCTGACTTTGTCCAATGTTGCATTTATATACGGTATACGTCTATTATAAAAAATGTCTATATAGGTTCATCACCAAACCCTGAAAAGGCCCAACATATGTTTTGTTTACTAAACACACATCCAAAAACTTTATTTTACACAAACTTGAGGCCCGCAACTACTAGCTATACTTGTTACATTCCCAAACACATTTTCGAGGGATGACATTCCCCCAATGATGGTCCCCCACAAGCCGCTAGGTCCAAGCATCTGCTGCAAGAAAACACGGACCACGCGATCCTTTGGCGTGGCATGTCCTGGTGGGGCGATCATCAACAGATTCGCGACAAGAAATCCGATGTACTTGTGAAAGGTATTGAGTATAGGCAATACTATACAATACTATATACATATATACTATATATAGGTATACATCTATTGACAATGTATATGCTAAATTGAGAGATTATTCGTATAGGATCATATAGGTATGTTGGTCTGAAAATTGGCAATTTTGTAATTTCGATGAAGAGATTTCGATGATTCACCGGTAGATTTGGAGTATATGTTCAAACATACCTAGATTGGCTAAATGCAATGTTCACCACCTAAATTGGCGGTTTAGCTTTTACTCACACCTCACTGATATTTACACGCATATGATCTGAGAACTTGGAATCAACGGGGGTCATAACCCAAAATCAGATGAAAGGGGAAAAACTCATTGGTTGATATCTACTCATGTCATCATACCATTTTTTATTTGGCCAATGAATCCCGTCTCTTAGATGAGCCATGGACTTGGTTTGGTGTGACTAATTGGTTGTATCAAATTATACTGGTTGTAGAATATAGGTTATACCACACTTGGAAGTCGGCTAATGAACTCCATATAACATCAAGCAAATGCCAATATTTGTTGGTTTGATCCTCATAGTTCACTATTCCCTACAGCAACCATAGTTAAACATACCTCAGTTATACCGTTTTACCCAAGCAATATCATTTTAGTAAGCATAGTTCCCATGCAAACGGTTGCTACAGTTGTTGTTGTACGGGTGAATTAATAGGCTACTATGTTCAATTTCTCAAACCATGATGCTTAAATCCACCATGCTTGGCTGGTGAAATTCCACTAGCTAACTATACGCTATTAATTTCTGTGCTTACTCATACACAAGCTCGGTTAGTATCCATAGTTCCTGAGAAACGTGTTGTTAGACTTAATGTGATGCAGGTGAGTTGATATAGTTCAAAGTTACTGTATTCAATCCCATAGTTGGTGGTACACCACAGTCGCTGAGATAACCCCAACTATAACTGGACTAACCCTACCTTATTAATAACTGAGGTCGAAAGCCACGTACTATATCACTTCACTGTTAAAGTACCGTAAGTTATGAAAACAATGCAAAATGATGTGAATATTAGACACGTCTGTTTGACTCTGTTTGACTATAGTTGTTCCAAGATATCTAAGGTTTATACTTGGGGATGGTTCAAAAATTGAAACTCAGGGGACCACAAATTGTAGTTCACTTTAAATAGTAACCATCCATCCAGTTGGGGTACCTAATTTTGAACCATACCCAGGTATTGTAACTTACATGGGTTTGTCTGAAAATAAGGTACCTCCAATTCCGAGGGTTTATCTTCATCTTCCTTGCTAAACTGGCAATTTGGGGGGTACAGTATCCCATATTTTCAGACAGACCCCAGTAACCCTCAAAAAAATAGAAATTGAGCCTGACCCGGCGCCTGCACCAGTGCACACCGGAGCTATTCTGGGCTGAAGACCCCATTGGCTTACGCTGTGGGGAAAAACCAAACATCACACAAACTGAGCGGAGCTGAGCTTCGCTGCTCGCCATCTGATGAATTAAGCTCGTGTTGCCATCTCTCCCGAAATGCTTTCCAGGAAGCCACGTCCCACAGTTTCGCTGTTTGCAAAAACCTACGTTGGATATTTGCGAACTTGCTCCTTGGTTTCGCTTGTCTGAAGATGACTGTCTGGGTGAGGTGAGGCTGACGCGGGGGCACATCCTCCCAGTCAAAACAAATCACCACGCCCAAATCGGATGTTGCCGGACCCTCAGAGTGAAAGTAGTTTCCAGCCTTTCTGGGAGCTTCCGTCCAGTATGCAACTGATGATCCTGTGAACAGCAACCACCAGCCTTTGAGTGTTCTCAACGCCGGATCTCTCAGCCAAGCCAAATAAGGAAGCATCAGGTGGTAGCTTGCTCTTACAGTATATCTCTTTGGCGATTATTGTACAAATTACTATAACTGTTGCAAATTGATGAGAATAAAGGACACATTTAATGCTTGACTATAGCTGTAGCAAACTATAAAAAAATACTATACTTATAAATAATTTATCCATATATCCTATCGATTAAATCACTTTGACGATGAATTTCCCATGGAAAAATCCATAAAAGGTGGGTGACTGATCTTCGTTCCTCCAGAAGCTGCACCGCGCTTCTCCAGGCCAACCGCAGCGTGCCCAGCACCGCGTTCATGATCTCCACGCTGGGCGGGGGACCCCTGGCACCGATGGGCCGATGGGCCGACGAAAAATGGCGCTTTGGCCAGGAAAATCTGATGGTTCAACCAGCGATATGTCAAAAACAAGCCGGATCCAGTCAAAAATCAAGTTCTGAGAAAAAAACACAGTGGCTTTTTAGACCAATGAAAGTAAACATTTAAGGGTAGAACGTCGTTATTAGATCAACTATAACAGTTGAACATTCGAATTTACCTGATTGAAGAACCAGGCCACATGATATTTCTAAGCTGCCACAACAGTTCAAACAGGGTTGAAGCAACACAACTTTATCAATGGGGTATTTCAGCCACACCAAATTGAAGACCTGATTTCACCAGCAAGAATTGATGTTTTAATCCATTATGATTAACCCATTGCCATTTAAGCAAAGGATCTTTTGTTCCGGTTAAATCTGAAATGCAATATACTTATGTGAATATTGAAAAAAAACATGTGTTGAATATCATCGAACTATAGCCCCAAGATATCTGAAACAATTGAGCAAGCCACATTCCGGATGGCCAACTACCCAATCTGTACTACTGTTTGTCGCCGAAAAAGCGCGATGCCAAAGGGGTCACAAAGTTGGCCACGTGTGAAAGCAGGGCTTCCAAGTACGTATAACACCTGCTTTGGCACAAACAGGCACGCCAAGTGCAGCTTGCCAAAGAAAATTGACACAAATCCGAAGAATAGAGTTGCGGCAAGGTTTGTACATGCGTTTCACTTTACTGCGGCCACGCCTGGCCAGCTTCTCTGCCTATGATATTTTTCGCCACCGGAATCACTGTGTCGTCGCCTGGGTCTTCCTGGACCTGTGAAGTGCCAAAAAAGGATGCCAAAGGGGCTCAAAGTTCGCCGTTAGGAAACAGGGCTACCTAGGACGTGCAATACCCGCTTTGGCAAAGAACGTTTCCTTGCAAACGAGAGGACCTTGTTAACATCCAGGATGCCATCGCCTGGGTAGTAGTTGATTTGCACAGTTTATATTGGAGGAGCGTGGCAAGCCTTGGAATGAAGATCAGCCGGCGCGCTCTGCGTGCTCTTGAATGGCACATATTACAGTCCGTGCATTTCCACTGTTTTGTAGGTTTGTCTTGGTTGTGCCGAATGGTTTGGAGGAGGGACGTCCATTGGCATTTTCTACCAGGCACCCCTAGGTCGCAATTCAATATTTGATTTGACCACCCTCCACAGCTCTAATAAATCCAGACAAGAAGACAAACTTGCTAATCACTTACCAGAAACACGCGGCTGAGAGAAGGGACAGCTGGGCAAAAATACATCCAAGAAAGATGAAGCAGGACACAACTATATTATATACCAAGACGCACAAGCCAAGAAAGAGACAAACAGGGCTAACGTGTGTGTTTCGGCTTACATGTTATAACTGTGAACTAATTAAAGCAGTTGTGAAAGTGTGCAACCATGCTCTAACCATGTACATATATCCATAATAACAGTTAAACCAATGACTTAAGTAATTGAACATGGTAGTTTAACAGTCCAAAGTTTGATTTTAACCGGAAAACGGAATGAACGTTAGATAAGGCATAAAGCTGTAGCATTGGGGCACTGGCAGATCTGCTGATGGCATAATATTTGATCATTTTCTTTACGCCAAGATTTCTCTCTCAATATATGCCAGTTGATTCCTTCAAAAAGTGCAAGCATGAACATCCATCTCAAATGAATCTCATGTTCTGTTCATTAATCTCAAATCAAGTTGACTGTGTTTTCATCAATCTCAAATGATCATCTTTTGTGAATTATTTTGACTGCCATTCTAAAAAAACATCAATGATGCATGCACCAGGTGAGCTTGACCTACTGAATCCGTTTCTGACATCACTCAGTACTCAACTGATTGGGTGGTCTTAAACCATCCAACAAAAATGTCCTCTCAACCAATCATCCCAACGTTGAAACACGGTACATGTGTGAAGCCATCAGTGGAGTTGACCCAATCAGCAAACCCAAGATATTCAAGAGCATCTGATGTTGTTCTTCCACTAATCCTGGGATCCCAGAAAAAAACGGTGAAACGATGGAAGAAATCCTGCACCAGTTGGATTTATTCCATCCAAAGTATATCCTATCCTATATCCCCATAGTTGGTTATAAGCCCATGATTTTTGTTAATGTGGGTAAAACAAGAATAAACCCATGTGGGAATGGTTTATACCAACTATTTATATCTATTTATGGTGATTTTGGGGATGGCTTATGGCCTTGTTTTGCCCACATTGGTTCAAAAATCCCTGTGCTTTTTCCCTTGGGATTTCCTGAATCCGCTGGCACTGCCCGCCTTGCCCAGGCTTGGTCTAAGATGTAGATGGCCCAACGCCAAGCCTGGGGCGATGTGGAAAATTGAGCCATGCAGACTTCAACATTGGTGAAAACTGGTGGAATTAACCAAGACTCATGGGATATAAATGAACAAATATAAATATATATATATATGTATTACATATTACATATTACATATTTATTTAAATATGTATATATATATATATAAATAAAGGTCTATACATATTATATGTATATATTATAATATTAGGGTAGTTAAGGGATGGAAAATCGATAATGAATTGCTTTACCCTCTGGTGACATCAAGCATGGACATTGCTGGGAAATGCCCGCGCGGAATGGAGGTGAGGAGCTTTCCAGCTGACCATGTTTGATTTCCAGAGATGTACTCATCCCCCATAAACCTATACTGGTTGGTGGTATACCTACCCCCATGAAAAAATATGAAAGTCAGTTGGGATTATGAAATTCCCAATATATGGAAAAATAAAACATGTTCCAAACCACCAACCAGTATACTATCCTCTTTTCCAACCGTTTCTAACCAGTCAACAATGGACAACAGCGGAAAAAAAAGGACCCCGAAACTTCACAGGATCATCCATGGCCCATCTTGTAGGGGAGCGATCAAGTCGGGACCTAACATGAAATGGTTTTACTGCTAGAAATCACCAAAATCATGTCGGTCCCCAAAACTATTTCAAGACCTCTGATATTTTGATCCATCATCCAAACAAGTCTAGTTATGTCTCCCAAGTTAAAAGTTGGCTGGCAAGTTTTGGTGCACGTGTTGGCACAAACGCCATGCATTGAGCAAAACAGACAAATTTCACTAATGACTAATGTGGCAGGCCAAATGATATCCCCGTATTTGGGTATATAGCTTCTTTAATTACCAACGGTAAATCGGGCAAGGGTATTCTTTAGAGCAATGGGTTTACAGCATGAGAAATCGATCCAAACCCGTATGGGTTTGTCTCAAAACAGGATACCCTGCAATCCGCTGGTTAAGTGCACACTTTCCCACTGAAAAGCGTACATCTGTGTTTACCCCATGTTCAAACGTGTGCAATTTTTATAGACAGATACATATGCATTACACATGCACATAATCATGATATACACGTACGTATACATGTATGTATGTGTGCATATACTTGCCTGCTCACCACAGACTTCGATGGCGTGTCGCAAACACTGGCCATTCACTGCGCGACGATGTCGCCACACGTCCTGAACAATGGCCACGGCGGAGGATCTCTTGGGGATAAAAACGATGGAATATTGAACAATAGTGGCTAATACCGAACAAAATATATAGTGACTAATAATGGGATTAAGAAAATTGCCCTGCGGTAACAAAGCTATGGACAAACACCTTTTTGCTGATAGGCAAATCATCATTTTGATGATCTATTGTTGGCAATGTTCGAAACTAATATACTAAAAAAACAGAACGGTATAGGTTGTCAATCAGATTACATGTTTATAGAACCTAGATAGTATATATATATATATAACAACAAATGTATACTTATCAAAGGAAGTTTGGAAGTCTGAAACTCCGTTCTACGGATTTTTGGAAAGAGAAAAAAAAACAATCACCAACAATACATCACCACAACAATACATCACCACAACAATACATGACCACAGAATACATCACCATAACAATACATCACCACAACAAAATATCGCAACAACAATACATCACCACAACACTACCAAGTGATCTGATTGACTGCAACGTGCCACTGTGTTTGGTGATCTAGGGTTGCAATTTGCATTGGAATAGCTGCTTACATGTTTATGTTTGATCCCTTGGCTTTTGTGCGACGGGTGCGGCTCATGCTCGGTTTCGCTCGGACGCGTCCTCCAGTGTAAAGTTGAGTTCAGTTTTAATGTTTAAACAATATTTTTGTCGACACTTGTACAACATCACAATTTCGGGGCCTCATCTTATACCCAGGATATTCCTTGTCATGGCATCATTTACTGGTTTTCCCCAAACTTTTGATTGATGAACGATAGTTTGGTGGTTGTATAATTATGTATAATTCAAGTTCAATTTTTGCAGATGGTAAAAACGTGTAATCACCGCCCTTTTTTTTGTGGCTTAACATCCAATTCATTGCATCATGTTCTGATTCAGCCACGTAAAAAGTCTCAGTTTTACTGCTTAAATTGGTGTCAATCAGTTGATAACCATTTCTGGTGAAAAAAGCAATCTAGCGATGATTAAAGAGCTTTTCTTTTTAATTGTGACATCAATTATCAAATCGAGGTTTCATCTAGTATGGTCTGAACCTATGTTCCTGTGCATGGTTAAACACACAACTTTCAGGTTGTGTTAACGCTAAACCTTCCTTTCTGTATGGCTCAAAAATTCATTAGGGTGGGAAACTCAACTCGTAGCTCCTTTGCTCCCCCTTCTTTTGGGAACATGAATGCTCCTAGCTCCGAATCGCCCCCTCAGAACCTCCACAATAATTCAGCATGAAAGATGTTCAGTGATTTGTCCTACTCTTGGACTTGCTTAATGGTCTCCAAAAAACACACATATCAATAAACTAAACAAATAGTCTCATTGGGAAACAAAAACAATCATGTATCCTAAGAATGCTAGTGTATATATATATATATATTTATTTTATATTGAAAAATACGAACAAAAACATAAATTAACTATAATATACTATAATCACGATGAATTAGCAATAATTCAATGAGTCAGCGTTTCCATCGCCATCCGCTCCCGCCTCCAGGACGCCCAAGGCCTCTGCCCAGGCGCCGGCAGGGCACGCCGCCAGGCGCGTCACCGCCTGGGCCAAGCGCGCCTTGCGACTCAAGGGCTGCTCGACGCCTGGGAAACAGATTTCTAGGGGATTTACCCTCTGGCATACAAAAAGCTATGGAAAATCACCATTTTATAGCTGGGTAAATCAACTATTTCTATGGTCATTTTCAATAGCTATGTTAAATTACCAGAGGGTATCATGGAACTGTATAACCATGTATAACCAACATGTATGGGGACGTTTAAGGTCTGTATGTATACTTGATATAGGGGATATATAATCTATAGAATATGGGCAAATTATTAGTTATAAGTGATTATAAATGGGATTATACATTCTATAAATGGGGTTTCGATGGTTTTGTTAGTACTTATAACTGGTATTTCGGACCATAACTGTAGGGGTTTTCATTTGTATAACTGTATAACAAACATAAGGATATGGGATATATAATGTATAGTATAGAATGGGAAACACTAGAGGGATCTATAGGGGATTTAGTAGAACAAACAAAATATATGGGGATATCTATACTGCATATAGTGATCAGCTGATTGTGTGGGTTTTGTTCAGTTTGACTGAAAATAGGCGACCGGCAATGGTTTATCATCATGTTCACTATTATATCATTTGTTTTTTGAAAACATTGCCATAATCGAGGGTATACACCATTTTCAAACACACACACACTAGTATATGTACCACCCTTAAACGGCATGTTTCTGTTCTGGAAGTTATGTTCAACGAATCAACAATGACCAACAACCATGGTTGGATAGTATGGATGATGTTTACGATTGCACGGACGCAATCAACCGCCAGTCACGTGAGCCACCACTGTTTGGGCTTGGGCTTCTTGACTGGATCGTGTGGGCTAATTTGTCGTCATTGCCGCCAGGCTAATTTACTTGGATATGGGGATAGAGAACCTACAAATATATACAGTGAAATGGGGGAATTTTAAAAAACATGGGAAGATGATGTGAATTATTCCCATCATTCCGAGCCACCGTGCCCCAAACCATGGCAACATTGGCTAAATGAAACCATTACAGTATAAGCAATGGGAACTTTGGTTATATCCATTTCTACTTACTTGCTGAACAGAAAACAAATGTGTTCTAACCATGTGTGAATATGTTTCGTGGTTAATCCCTACCATGTTCAGTTTTCCCTATCTGGCGGCCATATATCCCCATTTCAGGCTGGTAAAACCATGAAAATGCAACGCATTAAATTGTTCATCAAAAAACATTGAGACAAACTACACATGCTTAGCTAATGTTGACATTGAGACAAACATAGACAAACTACACATTTTTGTTCCATGGTTACCACCATTGTTACTGATAGCTAAAGGCCGCTTCGCCTCGGAACTCAGGGGCTGCCTCTGGACGTCCGTGTCGCACCACCTGCATTGACCAGCAAAGATGGCGATTTTTGTTGGATTTGACCTGCAAAAAAGATGCATTTTTGGGGGATTTATTTGACCAAGTTTAGAAATGTTGAGACTGTGGATTTGATCAGCAACAGTTGGGAATGTATGAGAATTTATCAGCAAGATGCGATTTTTTGAGCCAGTTTCGGCCCTGATTTTGAAGGATCTTTACCCATTAAATTGGAGGGGGTACCCATTCAAAAACAAAATTGTAACTTGGGTTCCAGATCTGGATATGGTGAGAATATAACATGAATTTATATAACATGTACATATAGAACATAATTTGCATATGTGATGTTGAATATACTGAAAGACTTAAACACCAATTTTCGAGGTGATCGTAAAGGAATCATCACATGATAGAAGTATACAACATAATATGTATATATATCTATATACAACAAGCGGTGAGACAACAAACGATTGAACACAATTCAGCCGGCGTACTGACGTACTGTGGGATATCATTTGAGACTTGTACTGGGGAAAACATAGAAGCACAAGAATAGCTTCAGATAGAACCAGGAGATGCCCCAAACCATGGTGGGGATTGCCCCGAAGCTAGTAGTTGTTTCATACGCTCAATATGCAATAGGTTTTACCGTTAGTAAAATTGGTAAGTACCATCTGGTAATTTAACATAGCTGTGGGAACCCATTTGTAAAAAGGTAAATGATCTATAAATATAATGGGCAATGTTCCATAGCTATGTTAGATTACTGGAGGCTATCCATTTCTTTTCATTGATGCACACACAGATCATGCCAGGGCCAGGTAATTCTGTGAGGTTCATCGGGTTGCTGTAAACTGCAAATATCCCACATGTCACATACCTGGAAGGCTGGAAGTCCATGCGTTGCTTTGAACATCAGTCAGGGCTTGGATGTATCATGGTGAATTTTGGATACCTGTCAAAAAATCATTTGTTTAGCTGTTTGGTACACTTTACCATTGATGGCAAAAGATTCAAGTACTAAAGTATCTAGCCAAGATGACCCAAATTTGTTGAAACTCTTTCAGGAAGAACCTGTGTGGTATGGTCATCCCATCCTTTGTGTGTCCACCAATGGTGTCAATCATTTTGAGCTGCAACCACATGAGTATGGCTTAAAAGTTAGAATCTACGTTTCTGCGTTTATCCTGAACTTGTCACTAGGTTACGCCCAGTTTTTGCTTGTGAAATCCACATTTTCCAGAAAAACACCGCATTTATGGCCCTGAACAATTACACAATACATGAGAATGAAATAGGTCCTGCAACTGGTTGGTGACATATATCATGTGCATGTTTTTTTAAGGCCATGGGGCATATAGCTGGAATAACAGATGGTAATTGATCATCCATTAATCGTAATTAATATCCAGCAGTAGACAAGATTAGTATTAAACAATAGTGTCATGACATCATGATATGTGTCATATGTTGCTATATAATCCCCATTAACTAACGATAGCCTCATCTCATAATCATAAGTCCATATAAGTCCTAACTATTGGAGTTATGTCATTTGCACCAACTTGGCTAACTATGGCGCACCAGCCTCTGGGGCAACATCAAACATCACAAAACCGTGTCGCGCCTCCGCAGCGAAAAATTGCTTGGCTCGACGCAGGGTGTACTCCACCGCGCTGCGAAAGCCCACGTCACGCTGCGCGCGCCAATCTGCCTGCGATGTCGTCGAAAGAGTGGGATATGAAAGATGTTGAGCACTTACAAAGTGGGGGCCCCTAGATAGCTAAGTTGGTTTATAACTCCAATAACTATGGTTTATGGTACCTATAACTATAGTTAATGGGGTTTATAAACCATCTTATAACTGGGGGGCCCCACATTGTAGGTATTTCATCTGAAACATATTGGATTGAACATATGGGAAACTTGGGGATGGATTGAACATAGAAATTTGGGGATGGTCCACTTCAAGGAGAACCATGAAGTGCTTTTTGCGTTTTTTACCATCGAATCCCGCCATAGCTAAAACGAAATCCGCAGAATCCACAATGAATCCCAAATCTGATTACCCTCTGGTAAACTAACATAGCTATTGAAAATTGCCATTTATAGTGAGTTTTCCAATTAAAATAGTGATTTTCCATAGTTATGTAAACGTTTACCAGAGGGTATAAATACTACTCAAAGCCCTGAAAGTGATGATATATTTTCTCAGATTTACCGTGAGATCATGATTCATTTTATTCAGACAGGTTAGAATAATGTAAACATTCTGGCAAACTACAGTACTGGTTGGTGGTTTCAAGCCCTCTGAAAAATATGGGTTCGTCAGTTGGGATCATGAAATTCCCAATATGATGGAAAAATAAAAAAAATGTATAAAAATGTTCCAAACCACCAACCAGAGTAATGCAAGTCCCTGGCTGTTTCAATCAAGGTTCGGCTGATCCAAGAGATGACAAAAATTGGCTGGAATCTTCCTCATCCATATACTGAATCTGACAAATAGGTACTCCCAAACTTGCTGTTTGATCACTATTGTATCAATGCAAGATCATGATCGCATTGGATATACAAGAGTAAGGGGCCGAATCCGTTGCTCAAACATCGCCCATTCTCAGACCCACATTGGAAATGACTTATCTTATCACTAAGAGTGACATGTTCAGGATAAGTCTGTTTGTTCAGGGTAAACCAAATTTATCAACTCAACGTGGTTAACTATTAAACACTGAGATTTTGCCAGCAATAAATTGAGCATGTGTGGGATTGAAATGGTTTAAGCCATGAAGAGAATGATGCCTTTTCACAATGGGGATTTCACCAAATGTCAATGTTGCGTTGATATTATCCCCTATGATATGGGTCTGTCAAAAAACTCGCATGGGGGAGTTGAGTAGTTAATTACCAAAAACATGGGATTTTCCGGTGATAAAACCCACCACAACTTAGATGGGCCATGGAGTTAAATTACAGTAATTCGTAAGTTAGTGGGTTAGTTCACCCATCATACACCCAGTTATAAGATGTTGTAAGGGCTGACTAACCAATGAACTAATTCCATATCACATCTAAATCTAACTAGTCAACCTCATGATGAGGTCCAGTTTTCATAGCTCCATGGCTCCCTCCCGCTGGACAAAATCAACCACTGTATAGCAACCCCCAAAAGATAGAGAAGTCAATCATAACTAGTTCAGTATGATTTTACTTTTTTATCCCAAACGTTGATGGTCAAATCTCGAACATACCCCAACAATCCCCAACATATCCCCATATCAAATGGTTTATCGTATTTTTTTTATTTTAAATCATTTTTCACATATTGACAATGACTATTTGGAACGTATCAAACATCCTCAAATACCATAGTGTCCATCATATGTTTTCCCATTATATCCCATTTTCTGGTGGCTAAATCCCCTTAATATCACAAAAAATTGTTGGTTAAATCGTCATCTTTGCTGGGTTAAAAAAAACATGAAATCATGTGAAACCACATTTTTGCTGGTTCAATCACCATTTTTGCTGCGATACAATTCATGAAACAAATGGTTAATGATGGTTAATGATGGTTAATGATGGTTAATGATGGTTAATTCTATTCATGAAACCACCATTTCCCCATATCAATGGATTGGTTTAAGGGAAAATCTACAGGAAACCATGGTTTTTACCATCAAAATATAGGGGTTTCCTGTTAACATTTTCCCATCATCCAATTCTATGACCCTAGAAACAGATGGTTAATGATGGTTAATGATGGTTAATGATGGCTAATTCTATTCATGAAACCACCATTTCCCATGATTCTCCCCCTCCTCTGTCAACAGCTGCAGCGCATGCTGCCACTGCAAGCTCTTTCCGCACGCCACCGCCGCGGTGGTCAGGAGTTGTGGGTCTGGTGCAATGCCACCTGACCCCAACAAAAAAGGGTTTCACCAAGGAAAATTGGATAAACATTGGGGGTTTCCTATGGTTTATATAATCTGGTTTAATATGTTTTAATCTGGATTTATCATCACTCAAGTTGATTTTTTGAGAGAATTTGAGCAGAAGGTTCCAGATTTAACCATCTGATATCCTGTTTTAAATTGGTGTAAAGATGCAAAACGTGGATTTGACCGCCATCAACGTGGTTTCACCACAAAACACAACATGGGTTTGTATACTCATCAATGTAACAACGTAATTATATTATATTATATATATATCTATTGCCAAAATATGTCAAAATTAGGTGTAACCACACAAAAGGGCTGTAGTACAGCCAACAAACATGGGAATATGACTTGCAAAACTTTGGGATTTCAGTGGAAACTGTGTCTGAAACCATCAAGCGTCGAAGAGACTTCCCTGTGATGCCCAGCAGAGCCCGGTCACCCTTCATTGCTGCATGCCACAACCGTCTTGCAGATGTATCTTCAAAATACTGTTGCAATTGAACGCTTTCAGGATCTTCGTCCGCCCAGATTCCTGTTGCTGTTTCTTCGATCGACATCTCCTCCTCGCGCGGTGCTGCCACTCGAGGCATTTTGCGCAAACGCTCCGCAGTGGTTCCGTCGGTTGCTGTCTTGCTTTTCTGCATGACTTTTTGCAATAAAAGGACAACATCTTCGGCCCGGGCGACGCAGGTGGTCCACGTTGACCTGTGGTGATGGCGATGGGGTAACCCCCAAGTACAATGGAAATTCATAGGAAATCCACAGGAAAACCATAGATCTTACCATATCAATCCTGTTTTAAATTGGTCTTCATCGAAGACAAAGATAATGAGATGAGTGGGATTTAACCATCAAAAACAAAAACATCACCAGTGAATCATGAAACAACAAGTTGTATATCACAAAGCAAAATGAAGACTTCTTACTTACAAGAAATATGCCGTGAACCAACGACGCAATTTGTGCTGGCAGCCCATAAAAAAAAGATAATGCCTGCCGCTTAGAATCTCAAAACAATCGCGTCTGCTGGTTGCAGACCATTTCGTGAGGTTCGGATATTCTCGGTTTGGCATCGAAAATCAACCGGCTTCTGGCCTAAAATTTCATGGTGGATCGGCAATGTTGATCCCCAACTCACCAAGCTTCTCCTATGATCATTTATGATCATTACTGGTTGGTGGTTGAGCCACCCCTCTGAAACATATGACTCCGTCAGTTGGGATTATGAAATTCCCAATGTATGGAAAAATAATCCAAATGTTCCAAGCCACCAACCAGTATATATCACAATTAAAATCATTGTTAAAAATTATCACTGTGCTGAAGCCAATAATGCATCCAATATATAACTATCACCAGAAATGGCATAAACACTCCAAAATTTGATGATTTTTATTGACACGGTTGCTCCCAAAAACCCAAATATCAGGGCCGGAATTAGCTAAATATATGTAGAGGTAAAATCACCAATGTTCCCTGCTTGTGGCTATAGAGTTTACCTGCAATACATTGGAGCAACCCTGACATCAACATCATCAACCCAATCTCACCAGAAATGGTCCAATGTTTTGGAGGTTTATATTATTTTACTAGTGAGTTTACCACATTTCCCTATCATTTCCCCATCGTTTCCCCATCATTTCCCGATCATTTCTCCATCATTTCCCCATCATTTCCCAATCATTTCTCCATCATTTCCCCATCATTTCTCTACCATGTCCCCATCATTTCCCCATCATTTCCCCATAATTTCCCCATCTCCATCATTTCCCCATCATTTCCCAATCATTTCTCTACCATGTCCCCATCATTTCCCCATCATTTCCCCATCTCCATCATTTCCCCATCATTTCCCCATCATTTCCCCAGCATTTCTCCAGCACTTCCCCATCATTTCCCATCATTTCTCCATCGTTTCTCCATCATTTCCCCATCATTTTCTCCATCATTTCTCCATCATTTCTCCATCATTTCCCTATCATTTACCAATCATTTCCCCATCATTTCCCCATCATTTCCCAATTTTTTCCCCATCATTTCCCCATCATTTCTCCATCGTTTCTCCATCATTTCCCCATCATTTCCCAATCATTTATCCATCGTTTCTCCATCATTTCCCCATCATTTCCCAATCATTTCTCCATCATTTCCCCAGCTTTTCTTCATCATTTCCCCATCATGTCCCCAGCATTTCCCGATCATTTCTCCATCATGTCCCCATCATTTCTCCATCATTTCCCTATCCTGGAGCTCTTCCACAGCCACCTCCCGACCTTCTTGGAGCTCTTGCACCTGTGCCAAGCAGGCCTGCCAGTTGCCTTCATCCAAGTTGGCCTTGGCTAACCTCGGAGGTCATGGGATCCATGGGACCTGGTGAACACCATGGGGCCCCAAAAATGTGAAGCGATATGTGATCAAACCATGATTGGTAAATGGATTGGTAATGGAAAAACATAGGTTTTGATCCATTTCCACGTGAAGCGATTTTTTGGAACACACATATGTTTTTTTCACATGTTCATGAGTGATGTGAGATTTTCTATGCAAAAATGGATTGAGATGAAGTCCTTGGTTCTGGGAAATCCCATGACCAAACAAAAATACTGGGAACAAGGTTTCTAAATGATATTTAAAATGATATTTATTAATGGATTGTTTACTTGCATGGATAAATCTATTACCAATGGATTTTAAAGAAACACAGTTTCCCAGCAACAAAAAGTGCCCTTTTTTCGGGGATCCACATCACCGGGTGTGTTTCAACTGGGAATGGATTCTTGGTGGATCACTGGCAACCCTGGTACTCTTAGCTCAGCAAACATCAAATGGCGCGAACGCTTTAATAAAAAATGGATGTTCATCCCTCAACTTCAGTTGTATCTGTAGGTTATTAAGTTATTAATCATTATTAATCTAGTTGGTGGTTAAACAACTAGACGACGGATGGCCCGAGAGCGTAGAGGAGCAGAGTCTTCTGTTGTTAGTATGGAGACACGCTTTTTACACACAGGCTCTTTTACACACAGACGCTTTTACACACAGAAGCTTTTACACACAGACGCTTTTACACACAGACCCTTTTACACACAGACGCTGTTACACACAGACGCTTTTTACACGCAGGCGCTTTTACACACAGAAACTTTTACACACAGACGCTTTTACACACAAACACTTTTACACACAGACGCTTTTACACACAGACGCTTTTTACACACAGACACATTTGACACACAAACACATTTACACACAGACACTTTTACACACAGACCCTTTTACACACAGACGCTTTTACACACAGACGCTTTTACACACAGACGCTTTTTACACAAACACTATCACACGCAGACGCTTTTACACACAGACGCTTTTTACACAAAGGCTCTTTTACACACAGAGACTTTTACACACAGAGGCTTTTACCCGCAGAGACTTTTACACACAGACGCTTTTACACACAGAGACTTTTACACACAGACGCTTTTACACACACAGACTTTTACACACAGACGCTTTTACACACAGACACTTTTACACACAGACGCTTTTTACACACAGACGCTTTTTACACACAGACACATTTGACACACAAACACATTTACACACAGAGGCTTTTACACACAAACACTTTTACACACACTTTTACACACAGACGCTTTTACACACAGACGCTTTTACACACAGACGCTTTACACACAGACCCTTTTACAGAGACTTTTACACAGACGCTTTTACACACAGACGCTTTTACACACAGACGCTTTTACACACAGAGACTTTTACACACAGGCGCTTTTACACACAGACGCTTTTACACACAGACACTTTTACACACAGACGCTTTTACACACAGACGCTTTTACACACAGACATTTTACACACACACGCTTTTACACACAGACGCTTTTACACACAGACGCTTTTACACACAGACACATTTGACACACAAACACATTTACACACAGAGGCTTTTACACACAAACACTTTTACACAAACACGTTTACACACAAACACTTTTACACACAGACGCTTTACACACAGACGCTTTGACACACAGACGCTTTTACAGACAGACGCTTTTACACACAGAGACTTTTACACACAGAGACGCTTTTACACACAGACGCGACGCTTTTACACACAGACGCTTTTACACACAGACGCTTTTACACACAGACGCTTTTACACACAGAGGCTTTTACCCGCAGAGACTTTTACACACAGACGCTTTTACACACAGAGACTTTTACACACAGACGCTTTTACACACAGAGACTTTTACACACAGACGCTTTTACACACAGACACTTTTACACACAGACGCTTTTACACACAGACGCTTTTACACACAAACGCTTTCTACACACAGGGGCTTTTACACACAGAAGCTTTTACACACAGACGCTTTTACACACAGACGCTTTTACACACAGACGCTTTTACACACAGACGCTTTTACACACAGACGCTTTTACACACAGCTTTTACACACAGACGCTTTTACACACAGACGCTTTTACACACAGACGCTTTTACACACAGACGCTTTTACACACAGACGCTTTTTACACACAGGCGCTTTTACACACAGACAAGTCCGGCACAAGTAAAATCGCAATTTTACCTCAGTTTTTGACGATCGACCCTCATTTCGTGCGAAAGGGTTGCTCCGGCACAAGTAAAATCGCAATTTTTCTTCAGTTTTTGACGATCGACCCTCATTTCGTGCGAAAGGGTTGCTTTAGGACAAGTAAAATCGCAATTTTTCCTCAGTTTTTGACGATCGACCCTCATTTCGTGCGAAAGGGTTGCTTTAGGACAAGTAAAATCGCAATTTTTCCGCAGTTTTTGACGATCGACCCTCATTTCGTGCGAAAGGGTTGCTTTAGGACAAGTAAAATCGCAATTTTTCCTCAGTTTTTGACGATCGACCCTCATTTCGTGCGAAAGGGTTGCTCCGGCACAAGTAAAATCGCAATTTTTCCTCGGTTTTTGACGATCGACCCTCATTTCGTGCGAAAGGGTTGCTCCGGACAAGTAAAATCGCAATTTTTCCTCAGTTTTTGACGATCGACCCTCATTTCGTGCGAAAGGGTTGCTCGGGCACAAGTAAAATCGCAATTTTTCCTCAGTTTTTGACGATCGACCCTCATTTCGTGCGAAAGGGTTGACGTTTCGTGACTCGCCGCCGGCACCACCCTCGGCCTTAAGAGAGAAAGATAAAGAAGGCGAGAGAGAGAAAAAGGGGAGAGAAAGGAGAGAAGATGTGAAGGTGAGAAGATGTGAGAGAAGGTGTGAAGATGAGCAGACGTGAAGATGAGCAGATGTGAGAGAAGATGTGAGATGAGCAGATGTGAGAGAAGATGTGAGAGAATATGTGAGAGAAGATGTGAAGATGAGCAGATGTGAGAGAAGATGTTAGATGTGAGAGACGGTGTGAAGATGAGCAGATGTGAGAGAAGATGTTAGATGTGAGAGAAGGTGTGAAGATGAGCAGATGTGAGAGCAGATGTGAGAGAAGATGTGAAGAGAGCAGATGTGAGAGAAGATGTGAAGATGAGCAGATGTGAGAGAAGATGTGAAGATGAGCAGATGTGAAGATGAGCAGATGTGAAGATGAGTAGATGTGAAGATGAGAAGGTGTGAAGATGAGAAGGTGAGATACAGACCCCCACTATTGGAAGAACCCTGCGCTCAGACGCTCTCGGGAAAAACCATCTTGAAAAATGATGGAGTTCGTCAATGGTTGTCGGATGACATCCCTTCAGTATGAAATGGGAAATAATCCATTCATGTTTGAAACCACCAACCAGTATATTATGTATATATATATATGTATTACTAATATACAATGGTTAAATCCCAAATCTTGTTGGTACTAATGTTAAATACCATTTTATATAACCATGCTTAATTATGATACCCATCAAATCTAACATTGGCCCTTCCAGGGAACATCCAAAGTGCTGGTTGGGACGGAAATCAGGATTACCAGGGATGACCTGCTGGTTGTAGACTCCAGCCTCTGGTAAAGGGACTCACAAAAAACTCATGGGAAAATCATAGGAACATGGTGGTTTTTTGGGAAATTCATAGGAAAACCATAGGAAAAATGGTGGTTTTACCCCCTGGTAAACTAACATAACTGATGGGAAATCACTATGTATAATGGATAAATCCACTATAAATGACCATTTTCAATAGCTATGTTTGTTTACCGGAGGGTAAATGCAGGAAGGGCTCCACCACAAACCCATGGTTTGGACCTAACCTACAACCCCCCACTCAACAGCAAGAACGCACTTTTGCGCGCGTAGGCACTGAAAAGGTCTTTGCCCTCCGGGCTCAAGGGGGAGGGGGGGTGGGCTACCTTGAGCCCAAGCTACACCGGGTTGTTACAGATCAGTCAAAACCTAGAGCACGCTACACTAAGCTCCAACAGTTTGGACCTAACCTACAACCCCCCACTCAACAGCAAGAACGCACTTTTGCGCGCGTAGGCACTGAAAAGGTCTTTGCCCTCCGGGCTCGCACCCCTCCCTTGCCACTGTATAGCTGGAGTGGTTGCCTTTCTACCGGGCGTGAAACACGCCTCGGTTGGCAGATGTATCAAAACTGGAGTGGTTGCCTTTCTACCGGGCGTGAAACACGCCTCGGTTGGCAGATGTATCAAAACTGCGTGGACGGGCATAGCTACGTAGGCGTAAGGCTTGTCTTGATCATGGACTCCGACATACCGCGCGAGTATTCGCGGTCCTCCCACAAATAAGTGTGGAAGGCGTCGGAAGCCCAACGCCCGTAGCGCCTGACCACTGAGGCGTCTTTATAGGCGGCCCAGAGAGCCGAAGCGCCCCCAAAACGAAGAGAGTGCGAGCCTAGATGGCCCGCCACACCACAGGCTTCGGCCGCACGGCGCAGGAGCATCTGCACGGCCTCGCGTGGGATATCCCAGCCTTCCGGTGTTCGGAATAGTGGCTCATCTGCCTCCACGCCGCCCAAGTATCGATTCGGGTATTTCTGGAAGAACTGTCTGACCGCCAAGACAGGGCAGACGGCCTCACCGGTCTTGTAGTGGTTGCGGTGAGTCTCCAGATTATAGTTGGTTTTGCTACCGTTCAGCTGGAGCCGGATCTCATCGGCTTCCCCCAGGTTGCGGAGGTCGCATTGCTCCCCTTTGCTGAAAAGGAGTACTTGTCTTCCCTTTAATTGACGGGAAAATGGGATGTACCCCAAGGGTAAAAATTCTGAGGCCCTGAGCAAAAAGAAGAACCCCAGGCACAAGGCAGCCCAGAGGATAGGACCCTCCGGGCCCGAAACAGGGCCTCGGAGATGTTCCTCCAGCCAACGCAACATACGGGGGGTCACGGGAGCGGCGTCTTGTACCGCCTTCTCAGGCCTGCCAGGGCCATCGCTACCCGGTTTCTTCCTTCTAAGGGATCTGGCAGCCCCAGCGTCACATGGATGCTTCGGACGGCAGCGAGACGCAGTTTCAAAGTTCCCGGGGCACGCTGTTCGTTGACGGCACAGTGAAGCAAATAGTCAATGATGAGATCTTCGTCCGCCGGCACCCCAGTCAGGAGCCAGTGCACCTGGCGCCGAGCACAAAACAGGCGCCACCATTTCAACTGCGCGGCATACGTCCGACGAGTCGTCAGGGCTAGCCTGTCCAAAGCAACATTGACAGCTTCCTGTTGATAGTCTTGCCGATTCTTCAGGGGTAAGCCAAGCTGTGGGGTCTTGTGCCCAAGGAGATCTCTGACTGCCTTCGGGCTGCGACAGGGTCTGTTCTTCACCCCCTGCTGAATGGTCGGCGCCTCCTTCGGGTGGATGTCTTCTTCCAAGCTTTCCAAATAAGGCGAGAAGCGTACCCGCCTGGTAGTGGAGCCTCCCACGCGTCTCTCGTCTTTTTGCTCCCGTGAAATCTCTTCGCTCCCGGCCCGCAAACAAGCATGCAGGACTCCGAAGAGGTATAACAAGGCCAGGATGAGGAGCCCAAATTCTCCACAGAAGAGGTGGGCGATGGCATGGTTGGTGTCCCGATTGGCGTCGTCGACTCGCCGCTGTCGAACACCTTGTCGGGGATTTCGCCGGGCCACCGTCGTGCTAGCCTCACCCGGGGGACACAGACACCGTTCGTAGCGGATCTGTCTGCGGCCCCGGATGTGACCGCACCCTTCCTGATGCCACCTCTCGCCGCTCAGAGTCACGTGGGCGGCTCCGGAAGGCTGCACATACCCCGGTTGGCCGGCACAATCTTTGCACGGCTCCACCCATCGACTGGGTCCTGGCCTAAGACACTCGGAACGATGCCACCGCGGGATTCCTTCCGGATCAACGGTCCCGGCTTCTAGCCGGATGCGACGCCCGTAGGTTGGCTCCGCCGCAGGGGGCGGGGCGGGGGTCACCGGGCTCGAAACCAAGCCTCGGCTGGCGTCGGGCAGAATTTCGGTATGAGTGCGCTCAGACGATATTTGACCCGACGTTGGGCCTTGGAGCGGATTCGGCATCTTGTTGTTCTTTCCCGGGCCCGAAACAGGGCCTCGGGAATTTGCTTGCCCCATGGAAGGGCGGGCGTGTACCCATCGCCGGATAGCAAGGCAGGCTCCCACGGCAAGGAACAAGGAAGCTGCTACCAAGATTCCAAACAGTTCGATTGGTAGACTCGGCCTGACACCTTGCCCTGCAGGCCACAGCGTAGTCTGCCTCACCACCACTTCTCCACCTAATGGGTAGGCGTGCGCGATGGCGTGGTTGGTGTCTCTACTAGCGTCGTCATTTCGACGAGTTTGGCGCCTCAGTCTCTTCGCTTCCTTTCGTCTTTGCGAGTCTGGGGCTCTTCGAAATTTCCTTGGTTGGCCATCGGCCTGCAGCAGTGAGGCTCGGAAGTCTTGAATTTCCTTTCGCGCGGCTTCCTTTCGTGCGGCTGCTGCTGCCTCAGGGGACTCGAGAGGTTCAGCGGAGGGATTAGCTTCGCCTCCCTGAGTTCTCTCACGGTGCATACGTGCCCTCTGTCTGCCTTTCTCCCGGCGCCTAGCCACCCAAACGCTGATGCCTGCTTCAATCTCGAGGTCGAGCCGGGCAGACTTGAGGACTTTGACGGCTTTAGAAGGCCGCACCGGATTTCTCCTTTCCACTTCTCGCATGTAACTTCCCTGAGCGTCCAAGGCTTCGAGATAACTTTTGTCTTCATCCTCTGCATCTTTGATGCGTTGGATCTCGGTTTCCAAACTTTGCTGTATCCCTTCGGCAGCTTCTTTTCGCTGCGCAGTAAGCCTTGACAGGTCGTCTATCAAATCTTGTTTGGTCGACCCATCCTCTTCCGCTTTGGCGAGGGATTCTTGGAGGTTCTGCCAGTTCGCTTCGTCAGCCCGAGCGATTTCCTGCAGCAACCTGAGCTTCCCGGATCCCAACTTCAACCCTCCCTTGGGGATCAGGGCCCGGTCCCTAGCAGGAGCGGGGTCATCCCTGGCTCGGGAAGGTCCTGCGCCCTCTCCGCCATCTGCTTCCTCCTTACAGCGATCTGTCTCTCACTTCGGCCCGCTCGGCCTGTCGGACATCTTGGATGGAATGCAGGCATCGGAACTCTTCGGGCTCACCGGCGCTTCTGCACGGGCATCGGGTTCCCCTTTAACACTCCCAGCAGCGGGCGTGGGCTGCGGGTCAGCAGCCGGGGCTTCCCCAGGACCGGCCGCCTGAGCTGGATTAGGGGCAGATGGGCGAAGTTCTTCTTCGGCTTTGACGCCCGGGGCAGCCTCCTGCAGGGCCTCACCGGGCTCGAATCGAGCCTCGGCTTTGGCAACAGGCAACTCTTCGAACTTGGTCGCGGGAGCAGCGGGGCCAGCTTCCTGTAAGGTCTCCCCGGGCTCGGACCGAGCCTCGGTTTTGACCTCGAGGGATTCCTCCAGCTTTGTCATTGGCACGAGCGCCTCCTGGATTTCCGGGTCGGAGGCGCCCCAGTCAGGCTCCGAGATAACAACGACGTCCGCCTTCAGAGTATCCGGATCAACGTTGACCTCCTCTTCGCCTTCTTGGCAGGCCAAGCCAGCTACCGCCGCCGCCAGGTCGGACGCAGTTCGGGCGAGCTCTTCCCTGGGGTCTTTCTCCTGAGCTTTGGACGGGGGCCAGGCTATCGAGCGGTAGGCAGCGAGGTTGAGCTTTGCAGAATTGCGTGGCTCTTCTTCCTCCACCCACTCGTCCCGACGCCGACCTCTCTTGCCTTGATTGCTGGAGCTGGGCTCCCCCCGGTGCTGCGGCACGGGCCCCACCTGACTGCTGGCGGACGCCCCTTTCAGGCTCTTTTTGGGTCCCTCTGCAGCGTACCAAAACTCGGCTGTGTCCCAGTCCGAGACATCGCCCAAGGCTGCCGGCGGGATTGTTCCGCTGGCAAGCCACACAGAATTCCCCGTGACGTAAAAGACGACCCCGGACTCCATCGCAGCCTTAGTAGAGACGGGAATCTTCACCTCCAAGTCCGACCTCCACTTGCCCGACGCCTGATCTGGATTGACCAGATGAGCCATCCGTCTGTCGCCCCGGAGCCCATTTTCCTGGATCGACTTCACATGGCGACGGTACGTTCCATGCACCAGTGTCGGGGGGACGTCTTCGGGAGCTACCCTTGCCCCCGGCCCATAGACACCGTCGATGGTGTGGCCCGACCATGCCGCCATGTATGGGCGGCCGTCGCTTTCTCTGACAACAAACCGCTGCTTAAAGTTCTCCTCCACGGCGTCCCGGATGACCTGCTCCGTGAAATACTTCTCCTGCCAGTTCAGGCGCTTACGGAGGTATTCCAGGAGGTCGGGCAGTTCCACCCAGCCGTCTTCTGTTATACATTCTGCTTCGTGCCTGAGGCATCGAGACATGGCTTTTGACAGCTCCTCCTGCCATTCCATCTTTTTGCCACTCTTCCTCTGCTTTTTGTGCTTCCCTCCAACCATGAGCGCCTCCCGCGCTGCGGATTCCCAAGGCAATTCGCAAATCCCGACCTTTCTGTCGGTTGGGAGTTGACCGGGCTCGGAGCGAGCCTCGGCCCCCGCAGCCGGTCCGGGTTCGTCTTGAACCTCGGATTGGGTCGAGTTTGCCAAGCTCGGTTCGGTCAGCACTTGATTGGTTGCGGCGGGGTCGCGCGGCCCGGTCGTGCCCAGCGAACTAGCCCACTTCCCAGCCGTTAGAGCCAAACTACGAGGGGTAGCCAAAATGGACAGCAGGGGTAAACTTTCAGCCAACACATTGGGGGGTAACAACTCAACCCTCCCACCCAACAATTTAAAAATTTCCCCGGGCGTGATATACCTCGCCGCAGGTCCCTCGGGTCCCTTCCCTAGCAACAAAAGCGAATCCTTACTTTGGGGATTGCCGGAGTTGTGATGGAGTTGGGGAAGTGGTTTATAGGGGTCCCAAACGTGCCTACGAACACTACCCTCCACATACACCGAGCCCCTGGGCTTAGGGGTTGCCTGTCCTAGATACGGGATAGAGGTATCAAGTTTTAGTCTTCCCCTGACCCAGAGGTCACCCGGGACTTTTTGATCCTCCAGAAGCCACTCCGTGGGGTATGTGTGCAGCGGGGCAGTGTCGGGCTCGTCATCCGCGGTCAAACACGGAAGGTCTGGCATCTGCGCGCCCCTAGGGACGGCAAGGAGAATCCATCGCTTCCACCAACACTGATCTTGGAGTGTCCGGCCGCTGACGAGTACCACCCGGGTTTGCCATCCATTCTCTTGTAACCTAGCCTGAGCGCTTTTCAGGCCAAGAGAGGAGATGGAGTCGGCCCATATCCCCTTGGGCTGGAGACCTTGGGCTTGTTGGGCAAGGCTGGACGCGGTGGCAACCTCGTCCCTTCCGACACAATAGAAAACGCAGACCGCCTCTTCGTCAGCCAATAGGCCGGGCTCCTGCATTTTCAAACCTCTGGACAGCAACTCCAAGTGGTACACGCGGGGCTCCGGGCCAAGCTCACAGCAGACAATGCCTGGCCGCAATGGGAATCGAAGCCCCTGCGGGCCTTCCGGATGTCGTCTCAACCCCATGTGCAGGGCGGAGGCTTGGTCCTCATGGTCCATTCCATCCCATAGCAGGGCCCGACGGGTCCACCCCCTGTCCAGCGTGGCAAGGAGGACTTCGGAGAAATCCTTTCGTTCCAGGTTCCAAGCTGATAGAACCGGCCCTTCTTCTTCCCGCGTGAGAGCGTCCGCGACTTGATTGTGATAGGTCCGGATATATTCGGCGTGCAAGCGGAAGCCTCCAACTGTCTCAAGTGCCGCCAGAAGTTGTAGAAGGAACCGAGCTGCTGGTGGTCCTGCGTGTCTTTTGGCTAGCCATGAGATAACATTACTGTTGTCTCCGGCGTAGATGACAATTTTTCCCTTCCAGGACTTCCATCTCAGACACGCCAACGACACGACGGCCAAAAGCTCAGCAAGCGAAATCATCAACCCGTCTCCGGGCTCAGAACGAGCCTCGGTGACGGTCGACGTCTCCTCCTCCGCAGCTGCAAGCTCCGGGTCGTGCTCGGCGCAAAACCGCCGGAGGCGTTCCCACACGGATTCCGCCGGCTCCACTACCGCCACGTTGGCTTCCCAATCCACGGCCGCCAACTTGTGGGGGGTTGCATCTCCTGACGCCCAGACAACTTTTTGACTCATTCCTGGGAAGGAAAGGAGCTCCCGGACAGTGAGGGCTGAAGTCAGAGGGTGGGTAAATCGGACTTCCCATTGTGAAGTGGCATCCACGAGCAGTCTTTGGAGCTCGATTGATTCCCAAAAACGTGCCCAAATGGCCTTCTGCTGTGCCACTGTGCCTCTAGGTTTCGCGAACCCCCTTTCGTCAGCCGGGCCCAGGAGGTCATTCGTCGCCCCTAAGTAGGGACTGAGCCCTGGAAGCACCGCCAGCCAAAACTGCTGGTTTCCCCTCAGCTCCTGGACAAGACGAAGAGGCACATGGGTACACCCACTATCGAAATCAGGGAGGTGCAAAAGATGGTACGCCTTCTCCAGCTTTGCCGCAGGGAGGCTGCGAGTGTAGGACTGGGTGTCATACACCAGCCCCCATATCAATTTCCGACATTCAAGCCTACCTTCGAGAGCGTCCTTCGCAGCATTGATACTGCCCTCCCCAAGGGTGGCCTTTGTGACATATTCGGATAGGGCGACAGAGAGCTGCGGCCTGAAGCCCAACTCCGGCTCGATCAGAACGGTGTCGTCCATGAGAACGAAGGAATGGAAGGGAACGTCATCTTCCCACCGGTGATTGTCCGGAGCGAACGACCCGTGCGCTGACTTGATAACCCAGGCGAAGTGCATGTACTCACCCGGAGCACCACACCAGCCAAACGTCAAAAAACTATAAATCAACGTGGTCCCCTCCGAAGTCTGAGTGAATTCAGCAGGGACATCAGCTGCGAAGAGCTTGGCGTCTTCCAATTTGAGGGGGATCCATTTGAAGGCCTCCGCCACGTCCTTTTTGCTGAGCAGGATCCTGATTCGGGGAAACCGAAGCCTCCACCAAAGGATCGCGCGAGCCACTTCCTGGTGACGTGGTTGCAACGCAGGTGGGTGGCGTGTTTTGTGGCAGTACTTGTTTATCGGGGTGGCGTCCCATATAATGCGGCCCTTTTCGGAGATACTCCGGTCTGGGTTCATCTTTGGTACACGGGCCATAGGGACGGAAATCACCCCTTCCAGTCCTTCTCCTTTGTCGTAACAAAGAAGGGACCGCCCCTTGGCGGCGTCCTCCCAAAGCTGCTTGGCGGCTTCTTCGATGTGCTCCTTCAGGCTAGGATGGGGGGCGCTTTGCACCCTTTGGGTCTCTTCCAAATCTGCTTCTGCGGAGACTCCCCAAACGGCCACGTGCCTGGCCCTCTCCAAGATAGCTGGGTGAACCAATCCTTCGAAAAAGTCGCTGTGAAGTCCTGCGAGGTGATCCCCGTGTGTCCGGACCCAATGCCGTCGAATGGCCCTCAGCGCCTCCTTCCATCCTCCTGCGACCTCCAGGAGTCTGCTCCCCTGTTGGGCCGCCTCGGCAAAGTTTTCCTTCGTAAAATCCTTGCCTTGGAAAAAATCAAGGTAGGCGCCCGCCGCTTCCTCCGTTTGCTTTGGAGGAGGGTCCTGCAGTGGCCCTCGAAGCCCATAGACATCGCTTTTGCTGAGCGAGGAGAGCAGCGAAGCCCCCGCCCCCCCCCCGCCCCAGGTGCGCCCCGGAGGCGTCCCCAAAGGGGAGGCGAAGGGCAGCGTGACCGGCTCGCCGCAAGCCGGCCCCGGGCGCGAAACGCGCCTCGGGGAGCAGGGCCTTGGCGACGGACGTGGAGAGATCGGTCCCAGAGGGGAGGGTTGTGAGAGGGAGTAAAGACGGCAGAGTCGTTTTAAGGCAAAAAGGAAGGCCAGGGGTCGGGCCGAGCAGGAGCCGCGCCCGTGGGACAGAAGCCAAAAGAGCGACAGCTGCCGGTTCCCGCCACGCGGTGCTGGTAAGATGGTGGAGCACGCTGAAGGTGCCCCCGGACAGGGATTGAAGGCGGCCTAGGTCCAAGAGGAAGTCCAGGTGGCGGCGGCCACATCCAGAGCCGGGGGAAGCATCCTTGCCGCGAGACGATTCAAAACGGCCCCAGCCTCCAAAGGGGTGGAGGGGCAGGGTAAGCCAAAGGTGTCGTGGGCGAAGGAGAGTGATAACGGCTCGAAGCTTAGAGCGGGTCGCTCCACACCGGAGGGCTAGGTCGTCTTCAAGCGGGAAACGAAGAGCGAGGCCTCCGGCCTGCGTAACCCCGGTAGATACCGAGAAAGGGGGCGGTGCCAGATCAAAGAGATCAGGGGGAGTCCCATCAGGAAGATCGGCGCCAAGCCAGGAAGCCAAGTCCTGCCTAGACCATTGCGACGGGGAGGGCTCGGTGTCTTCCCAAGCAGGTGCCCCCGTGCGAGTGCCTACGGGTGGCGGGGACGGAAAGGGATATAAGCCAAAAACGCCGGCAGCACGACCGGTGCGACGGTGTGGATCCGAATAGCACCGAGGGCAGGGTTTGGCGGCACGGGCGCGAAGGCGTGCCCCGTGCGTCAGAGCCGCTTCTAGGTGAAGTTCCCAACCGGCAGCCGAGACTACGCGGGCTCCGGTAGGCAAAGCCCGGTCCATGGGCGGAACGAGCAGGCGCATGTGACCTTGGTGGACCAGAAGCCAAACGAGGCTCCGAGGTGTGGCGCAGGAACTAACCCCTTGAATGACCTCACAAGTGACCCGGCGCCAGTCGTCCATGCGGACGAGACAAAAGGTGCGCTCATCGGCGGCCGACAGGGGAAGAGCAGCCAAACATCGATAATCCTTATCATGGCCGTAATAGAGAGCGTCATGCGCGAAAGTGCGCAGGTCGTCCTCCGCTTGGGTGCACTGATCAGGCTCGGGCCCTAGGGCTTGAAGGCATTCTTCCGCGGAGTGGTGCATTTCGCGCTGAAGGGCCAGAGCCTGCACACACGTCTCCTCGTAAGTAGGCGGGGTTCCGGACTTTCTAGTGAGCAGGCCAGCCGCCACGTGGAGGAAAAACATTGCCTGGGTTCCTGCGATGGGTGTGGCTCGTCACACGGCAGCAGCCCTGAATGGGCTGGGCTCAACTGGTCACCATAATCATAGACGTGATAAGTGGTATCGAGCCAGGTGAAGGTCCCGGTAGCGGCCCCCAAATTGCTGTCTGCAGACAGGACACTGAGCTCCCCGCGGTGCGAGACAGACCCTACCCGCAAGTCCGGATAGGTTTGTAAGAACTCGGTGGCTTCTGCGGCCAGTTCTGCGCTTCCTTCCTGAACCGCTTCTTCCAGATACCTTTGGATATCAGCAGCCTGAGGCTGGGCAGCGGCGTCAGTGAGCACCCGATTCCGAAGATACACGCCCAGATGCGGGGGCATTTCGGGGAGCTGCAAGGTGTCGTCAATGACCTGCATATGTCTCAGCCTCTCCCCCGCCTCCGGCTGATCGTGCGGGACGACCAGTTGGGCCGTGCGTGCGGCAGGGCTTGCATGATCGGCAGTCCAACTGGTTTCTGCCTGCCCTCCCATCAGTGAGGCAAGTGGCGCCTCCATGTCGGTGGGTGCGAAGTTGTTCAGCCCTCCGGGGGCAGAGACCCAACCAGCCCTCGTATCGTTACGATATTGTGTGTGGCTTTCAGGGGGGTCTTCTGGTGGTCCGGCTGCCCTCTTAGAGGTTTCTCGCTCTTTGGCCCTTTTTCCTTCCTGTACGTTCGTAGCCAGCTTCGCTGCCTGCTCCTTGCGAATAGTTTCAACTGCAGCGTCGACCTGACCTGCTTTCAGCTTCGCCCGGGCGGGATGCCCGCCTCGGCGCAATAGCTGCATCTGAATGCTCCAATCGAGGGTGTCCCACTTCGGGGCTCCCCCGACATGTGAATGGGGGCAGTCTTTGCCTTTTGCGCATTTGCGGTGGGAAAAATGGTCCCAACAAAGGTATTTGCCTGTTCGATCCTTGGGTCGATGGTCCATGGATCGGCTGACTTCTTTGGGCGTCAGCGGAGACCCGAGCAGCTGACCAACTTCCTTTGGGGCATTGGGTTTTGGAGTGTGTTGGTTTCCGGCTTTAGCGCCATCTCCCAAATTTCCCGCTGCGTTATCCGCGTTTTCACCTGCCCTTCCCCCTGCTAGGGACGGGCGTTTGAATGCCATGTTCCAGCAGGCTCGATCAAGAAGCCGCCTTTGACGGGGGACAATGTCGGTTTGGAAGTACTCTCCCAAGGCCTGCAAGTCAAAGGTCTGTGGCAACCTGAGCCAAGGCGTCCCGTCGGCCCCAGGTGAAGTGGCAAAGAAGCGCAGTCTGTCGAAACTGGGACTCTCATCTTGCATTTCCCGTCGCGCGCTGCGGTCGATGGCCCTGAGCTCTTCCACGAAGCGGCCCCAGAGTTCCTCCCAAGTGCTGAGGACGGCTTGTAAGGGCCAAGCGTGGGTGTATTCTTCACCAAGCTTAAGGAGCTGCGCAGCAGCGCTCTCCCAGCTTGCGTAAAATTCAGCCCCGAAAGCGCACGCGAGGGCCCAGGCCTGTCGCAAAGCATTCCTGTACCAACCGGTGAGTGTGGTAGGGTTTCTTCCCCTTTTTTCTAGTTTGTTATCCCCCGGAGGAGAGAAAAGGTCAAACTCTTCTTCTGATGTTTGAGGAAAATCTGCCACGCTGAGACAGTAGTCCGGAACGGACCCCTTGCCCCCGATGTTGAGGGACGAAATTCCAAAGGCAATCCGGTTGCTGATGTTGACCGGATACCCAATCTCGCGGAGAAGAGGTCTGTTCTGCGAAGCCATAGACCTTAGGGCATGATATAGGTCTTTGCCTACCGTCGCCTCCCCGATGTGCACGGTAAGGGTGTCACACCCCCGGGCCAAGAAGACCAAGCGCTCTTCAGTTTTGCCAATAGAAGAAAGCTTGCCCCGTTCTTGACCAGAGGGTTCGTCCTTGGAGGATATGGCTTTAGCAATAGTCTGCAGGGCCTTAGATGCCTCATCAAGGGCGGGCGGTCCCGGGTCAGTATAAGCCCCGGCATGATAGGGCCTGAAGGCTCCCAAGCCTTGGCCTGACAGAGGGGGCAACGCATGGGCCGTTCCGGGAAAGAGGTCAACCGCTCCCGGGCTCGGTACGAGCCTCGAGGCGAGGCCACCATGTCCCGGGCCGGATACCGGCCCCGGGAAGCTTGTGGTCCCTGGCTCCTTTGGTCGGAAGAGGGCTTGTGCCATAGTCACCTGGGGCTCCGGCATGTCGCCCACAGTGCGTCGCGGCTCTTGATCCTGAGTATTGGTTCGTAGATCTTCTACGGTCTCTCTGGCTTCTAGGAGCGTAACGACGGGGTCACTGTCTTGGCTGTGTTGCCCAAGGGGGGTGGGTGCCACAAAGTGTTTAAGGGCTCTCAACGCTTTGGAGGGCTCCCCCCCTTTTTCTTCTTGTCGAGCAATATATTCTTTCGCCATTCGGCTAAGATCTGCACGGAATTCGGGCTCATGCCATTTTTCACGAGAGCTTGCCAAAGAACGGAAGGCTGACTCCGAGTCCTTCCCTTGGAGAAGTTCCACCATCAGCTCGGCTAGGTCAGCTGGTTCTGCCCTCGAGCTTGGTGCTGCTTGGCTGTCTACTGCCAAAGGCGAAGCGGCCTTGAGTGTGCTAGGAACCGCTTCTGATCCATTCCCTGCCCTGGGCTGTCTCCTAGTGGTAGCTTGTGGGGTAGTCTTGCTTCCAAGTGGTTTTTCTTCCTTGGCGTTGTGTAACCTGCACAGGAGGACGCCTTCCTTTCTCTTGGTGGCTGAATTAAGGCAGCCTTGCACCGCGCACGCCCTGTTGACTAACGAGCCCTGGTACATCGATCGGTGATATTCACAGGCGTGGAATCCTGAGGTGCCGTCTGCAAGACTAGGCAGCCCATCAAGGCAGCTGCTCGCCCTATCTGCACTGAGGAGGCAAACCGGTTGACCCCTCGCAATGTCTCGACACGGTTCCATGGCCAGCGAGGTCACTTTGCCACTGGAATCAATAGCGATTTGATCCGCCTGGCAAGGTTGGTCCGTGGGTCCGACTTCCGCTTCAGACTCGGTTTCGGAGTCGTCATGCCGGTCGCTCGGGCCATGTTCCGGCCCTTCGCCCGGGCGGGAAACCCGCCTCGGGCGCCTCCTGCAGGAAACACACCAACACCAGATTTTGGCACACCGGGATATGCTCTTGCGGCAACATCCGCACCACAAGGCCCCGCAAAAGCTGGTAAGGACCGCGCACCTACCCCAAGGCCCCCTTCCAGCAAGGTCTTGCAGATCGATCTCCCGGTCCTGGGGTATGACCGAACTGGCCTTGATGTGCACTTGCGACGCTTCAGGTGCTGTGCATGGGTCTTGCGAACACAAATGGATGGTGCAATTAGCAGTTTCCAGATGGTGCCTAAAGTACCGGTGAGAGGAGGCACGTACCTCATTGCAAGCGCAGACAAACCCATGCCTGTTCGTGCGGCCTCTGATTGTGTCGTGTCGGAGGCGAGCTACTGCTACCCCGTCCGCAACCAAGAGATCTAGAGGTCGTTGGTTCAACCCCCTCCCTCGCACCTCCCTCTGGACATACTGTGCTGTCCAGGGGTTGCTGGTACCAGGCCCTCTCCACGTTGGGATGTAGGGCCTTTGGCCTTGTAGGCGAGTGACGTCACTCCAGGTCCCAGTGCCCTGGCAATATCGCCAGAGGGCCCTTGAGTGGACCCAGGCTGGATGGACAACCCAAGTGTATGTCCAAACCAGCAGCTGTAACAGGAACACGATCACAACCCCTGTAAGCAACCAGTAACTCCATTTGGCAGCTAAACCGATCGATGCGCAGAGTGTCCCGCAGTAGTGTAACCCATTCTCTGCTACTTGCAGGATCAAGTCTACCCAGATGCGCACCCACCAATATCTGCCAATGGATTCAAAGGTCGCTCTCCAGGATCGGTGCCGTGTCTCCTGGGAGGTTTCAGGGCCAGTTTGCGCCGGGCGGGATCTCCCGCCCCGGTCGGCCCTGAACCAGCGAAAGCTGCTTGGTTCGTTTACTGTTTCCTGAGCCGTTTGGGGAGTGGCATTTGACTGCAGTCCCCACTGCAGCAAGTCCCAACCATTTGCCGTGGCGGAAGCCAGGAGGTACAAGACCCCTAGCGCTGCCTTGACCATGGCCCCCCCCTACCTTGAGCCCAAGCTACACCGGGTTGTTACAGATCAGTCAAAACCTAGAGCACGCTACACTAAGCTCCAACATTTCAAAACCATAGGAAAAATGGTGGTTTTACCCCCTGGTAAACTAACATAACTGATGGGAAATCACTATGTATAATGGATAAATCCACTATAAATGACAATTTTCAATAGCTATGTTTGTTTACCAGAGGGTAAATGCAGGAAGGGCTCCACCACAAACCCATGTTTCAAGGTATAAACAACTTTATCGGTACCTGTCTAGGGGGGCCTGTGCCAGTCCCATGATTGTGCACATCCATGCATTCAGAGTGTCATGTTGATCATCGATCGACCGAGTGCAAACCACTGTTGGGCCCCATGTTCTACCACCAAAGCATTACATCTTTAGTATCAACAAAGTGGATCACCCCAAGTGTTTATAAACCCATTCAACTGCACGCATCCATCATAAATTCTAGTTGGTTGAACATATTGTAGCTGAATACGGAGCTTTCCAATCCATGGGGGTACCCAATTTCATCCATTTTTCCATAGGATTTCGCCTGAAATAAACCATCCATATTAGGGTATCCCCATTTTAGGAAACCTCCGGTACCGACGCAGTGTGAGTGGATCCATGTGGATCCCCTGTCCCTTCCATGGGATGAAGTAGTTCCTAAACGGAGACTTTCTTGGCCTTGACACATGCCAAATGCTGATGAAATTCCAGAATTTGCTGGGACGTGCTGGGTCAACCACTCTTTCAGCCCTCGATTCAACCAAGATGTTTCCTGTCTATAATGGATGGCTAATCTTAGATTCGCTGCGTTTTCAGATATAGCAGCTCATTGGGAAGTATTTCCAGCCATAGCATACGACAATTTCGTATTGCACTACCCGGTACACTACCCATCCGAGATTGGCCAAATCATATTCACCCTAAATCCCAGTTACAAGTTATAACCAATAAGTAATAACCAATTTAGTAATAACTTTAGTAACCCTGTTGTTTCCCAGTCAATGTGTGTCATAAGTTATAACCCAATTTAGTAGTGGCAAACACACATTGACCAGTCACCCAGTCACCAGTCACCTCTCCGTGCTGATCACCAAGCAACACAGTGCGCACCACATTGCCATCAGCGCTTTCCCTGGGGGATCCCCGTTGACCAACAATGGGTCAATGGGAAACATCGTGGGCATTGACCAACAAAACATGCGAAAATAGTTACAGTATACCATCCATACATGGTATATATTTAGTATACTCTGGTTGGTGGTTTTTCGCCACCCCTCTGAAGAATGATGGAGTGAAAGTCAGTTGGGATGATGACATTCCCAATATATGGAAAAATAATCCAAATGTTCCAAACCACCAACCAGTACCATCAAATCATTTAAATCCCATAAAACAACCATAAATTGGTAGGTTAGTAACCCCACAAAATTCTAATGTTCCAGTCACCACCAACCAGTACCATACCATGTACCCCAAACAGTTGTGGATTCGACGGAGTGGCTATCCATCCGACTGGCTATCCGGCACATTTCTCAGATTCAGCAGCTTCAACATCACTTCATGCTTCACTTGTTTGGAGTTGCATCCAAGTGGAAAACGGCATCTATTATATATATATAGTATTAAATATACATATATAGTTATATATATATATATACATAATATGTATATATATATATTTAATATATATATCTTATATTTAATATATATATATTATTATATAAATATATATATATTATATTTAATATATATATACAATACTTAGATTTATGTATTCTTAACTTAAATACCGTCCATGGCTTGGTGCTGGTGTTGTTACTGTATACATGGGAAACAATTCGTAGCAAAGAGAACCTCTTGCCGCTGGTGATCATCCACATCGTCGGTGCTTCCAACCACCCAAAACTATGCTTAGTCACTGGGGATAATCCTCCATCCCAAATATGCGGGAAAGTACCAAAAGAAATCACCAGCAAGATATATAATATATCAAGGATAAATATATACATATTTTATATACATTTATAATATTTATATACAGTATAATGTCCTGAATTCTTGATTCTAGATTAACTGACTAACATCCTAAAACAGGTGGATTTTTGGGGCAAATTGAATCAGAATTTCCGAACCTCGATCAATGGAAAAGCTCCCAAAATACCAATGGGACCCCCAAAATATCTGGTTGGTGGTTTCAACCCCTCTGAAAAATATGAAAGTCATTTGGGGTTACTATTCCCAATATGATAGGAAAAAAAATGCAAATGTTCCAAACCACCAACCAGATACCAATGGCAGCTTATAACATCCTATAATCTCTCCCCGAATCTGAAGCCTCCGCGCACCTCATTTCACCAATCACGTCCTTGACCACATCAGCACCAGCGGAACTTAGCGCAGCCAGGCAAATGCTGTAGGTCCTGAAATGTTGGATGATTTATTCCTTAAGAGTCGGAATGCATACCGTTATATGTATGTTATAGGCCCGGCAGTTTTTTTTTGCGGGAAAGGAACCAATTAAGACAACTTATTAAGAAGACTAGAGTTTAGAACAAATGTGATATACCAATTTTTGGCAAAACCATAAAAAGCAAGTAGGTTTCAAATGAAGCTTTCCCAAGTCATGGCTGTCCCCCGAATCATCCAGTCGTCATGGATGACCATTTTAATCTTGAGACATCCATTTGAGTAGGATTTCCCACTATAACTATACTATGGATGTTTCCCACTATAACATTAATAGTTTTTGTTTCCCAACATCCATTTTAGTCTATAACTATAAATACTATACTATAAACATTAATAAACCATCCATGTTGGGAAACTCATCCCAAAAGTCCAGAAAAAACGCATTGAAACAACCGCCCGTCTGGACGACTGGGGAGCCCTCCCGCCACATTTTCCGCTCCTCTCGTTGGCGTCCAGCGAGGCTTGCGGCAAGGCGTTCAACACATGAAGGCTCCTCTGCCAAAGCCTCCCAGCCGGAGGTGGGATGAGACGCCGTGACTGCTCGGCTCGTGGTGAGTTTGGTTCAAGGCCCACATGATGGTGATATGATGATGCCGGAGACTAGCCATGAAAATAGTGGTCAATACATGTCTGGTTGGTGGTTGAGCCACCCCTCTGAAAAATATGAAAGTCAGCTGGGGTTACTACTCGCAATACATGGAAAAATAATCCAAATGTTCCAAACCACCAACCAGATGTTAATACCATGTCATAGTGATTCAGACTGGGTTTGACATGGACTATATCCTCCGGTCAAGTATTGATTTGCGAACAGGAAGCCACGGCCGACTTAAAGATGATAAACATGATTTGCTTTGCCTATTATAAATGGTGATTTGCCAGTTCGCTACGTTAAATTACCAGAGAGTAACCCGCTACGTTAAATTGCCAGAGAGTAACCCGCTTATTTCACCCCAGTTGAAGACTGGAGTAACCTTATTCTTCCTACTGGATGAACTGGGGTGAACTAAGTCGCTAAGTAGGGTGAAGCATCAGCTTGTGTCGAATCCATGTTCTCCCCCAATGAACAATTTGATGAGAAACTCCCCATTCCAAAAGGGAAAGTAGTTTGCCAACATTTTCCAACTCTCCTTTGGTTCTTCGTCGTAGAAACTGGACCAAAATGACCAAATGCTGGTCACTCAATGTATGATTCAGCAATGATTCATGGCTGCAAGTCAAGGTGTTTGCAAATGTAGATGTGGGGTTCTTAAATTCAAAAAATGGGGGTTCCCCAAAACCGTGGGTATCAATTTCAATACTAAAATGGTCTACTGCCCTGGATGATTTGGGGTACCCCATTTGGAGTGTCTCTCTACATCTGTGTTTTGAGCCTTTGTTGTGAAAACACTAAACTATACACATCGCATAGTTGTGCATGGTTCAATGATATACTGTATATATATATATATATAACTAGATTATATATATATATATATATAACTAGATTATATATATATATACACTGTATATAATTAGTAATATAATGAAAACACTAATTATATATATACAATTACATACATATTTAGATCAATGATATAATATATATATATAACTATAACTTATATATATATATATATACAGTAGATCATATTTTCACGATATCTGGATCCCACTTGACTGACCTCCAGGGACTCCATCGTCCCACCTGCTGAACTTCAGGCTACTGAGCACGGTATTGAAGCTGACGATGTCCTTACCACGAATTCGAGGAATGGCAACGATGGCGAGGACGAGGACTTCACAAAGAATCAGAATGGAGGACTTACGCCTAAACTAACAGTTTTCTATTGAAAATTGCCATTTTTAATAGGTAAATCCACTATAAATGGGCCATGTTCCATTATAAATGGTGATTTATAGCTATTGACCAACTATTGAAAATGGCCAGAGAAATAGTTGATTTACCCATTATATAAACATGTTGATTTTCTATTGGTTTTTTCTATGACCAGAGAGTAACCAGCAAACATGGGGGGTGAAGTAGCATTGATTTGGCAGTGCGATTTAAGCAGCAGAACTTCGCGAAGAAATTCACCGAGATATTCATTGGATGGGTGAAATAGGGTCAATGTACAGCCAAAACCCTATATATTTGTTGGTAAACAATGATCTGGTTGGTGGTTGAGCCACCCCTCTGAAATGGTTAATGTATGGTTATATGGTTAATGATGGTTAATAATAATCTGGTTGGTGGTTGAGCCACCCCTCTGAAAAATATGAAAGTCAGTTGGGATGATGACATTCCCAATATGATGGGAAACATAATCCACATGTTCCAAACCACCAACCAGTGTTGATTTGCTATATATGTTTCCTTGCTTTACACCAAACCATGTGCATGCGTTTTTCAAGTTTTGACCAAACTTATGTTGACCTACGATTTATAAACCCACCCTGAATAAAGCTAACCAAACTCCCCAACTAAATAATAAACTACCCCTAAATAAAGCTATTTTTTTGGCCCTAAACCCAGATTTGCCCAGATGGGGCTGACCAAAACCTTTATTCAAACATGATAGCTGGAACTTGTCAAAAATGATGGATGCTCTTTCTATTCAAAACCTTTACTTAAACTTATCCAAAATCATCTCCAAATCAACTCATCAAGGGTACCCCCCATGAGGTGCCTTAGCACTAATTAGAGTTTGACCCTGAATAAAGCTACTGAGATTCCCCCTCCCGCTGATCAAGAAATGAATGCTAAATCAATACTAAATCCATGAAATGAATACTAAATCCATGAAATGAATACTACATCAATACTAAATCCATGAAATGAGTACTAAATCAATACTAAATCCATGACATGAATGCTAGATCAATACTAAATCCATGACATGAATACCAGATCAATACTACATCCATGACATGAATACTAAATCAATACTAAATCCATGACATGAATACTAAATCAATACTAAATCCATGACATGAGTACTAGATCAATACTAAAACAATTGTTGGATTCCTTTTTTTTGAAATTGGATTTTATGTATTCGTTTTCAATTGTGGTAATTGAAAACCTTTACATACAAACAAGTTTGATGGTGGCTTTAAGTCTATTTAGGGTAAAAGAGAGGGGGGGGGCCCACGTTTATAAATCAGAGGTGGACATTAACCAAATATGGATGTAAACTAAAGGAACGAAAATGGTATCATTCACTGGGCAAATTTTCCAAAGGGGGCGGATGTGAAAAACCCAGTCCAACTGTAATGACCGTACAAGGAACCCTGCACACAGAACCATAAACGTACGTAAATGAGCGTCGGCGTAGACCCATTCATGACCTAATCCTATTGATCTACTTCTGCACCTATACAAGCGTTTTCGTATAGACATGCAAAATTCACATTGTAATGCACAGATTCCAGATGCAAAGATTTCAATTCATTTCAAGCATAGACAGACTCTCTCGTTTCACACATCCATTCTGGGCAAATTATAATATTTCACTAACCTGAAAGGTTCGGCCATTTGGGGATGATTTCCCTTACTAACCATGATTTCCTGTGAGGGAGAACAGTGAGGTCGTTATAATTTACCCAGATTCATATCAAAGGTATCCCCCGAATTGCAAAGGAACTTTTGGAACCAACAATCACTGAGAACTGTCCGAAACTTTTAAGTCAGCCAAGGTTCCGGGAAAGGACCATAAACCAACATGTTGTTCAACAGCGTAATTGCTGGGAACCAGTGGCTACCTGGCAACAGGTTATGCAGTTATGGCCATTTATTAGTTATCATTGGATATGAATGGGATTATATATACATTCTATACATGGGGTTATAAGTACCATAACTGTAGTGATTATGGTGCACAACAAAAGACATACAAAAAAACAGGTGACATTGATGTGAAACTACCAAAAGAAATGGAGGGCCAATTTGAAAACGGATGGTCTACTCAGATGCAGCAAGCGGAACATACCAGCAATCATGTAGCAAGTAAAATCTGGCATGGCTGGAAATTATATAGAAATGTTTGGGTGTTTGGAGTCATGAATGTTGGTTTTGCATTTCGTATCAACATCCGATTTTACAGTAACAGTACCGCATTTTCGACTATGCCATCCTATACCTAAAAAGCAACAATGGCCATCCTTCCAGGATAGATTGGGACCGGATAGGACCAGGAGATACCCCAAGCACTCACCATTTTCTTGTCACACATGGCAATGTACAATCTGAATTTCTGTGCATCATCTTGATCATCTGGTTGGTGGTTGAGCCACCCCTCTGAAACATATGAAAGACTATGAAAGTCAGTTGGGATTATGAAATTCCCAACTGAATGGAAAAATAAAAAATGTTCCAAACCACCAACCAGTAATACATTACAACCTATTACGAATTACCATCTGGTAGTTTAACAGTATGGAGAATCACCATCATGCACAGGTAATTTACAGTATCTATTCGCGGGCCATCTATACCATGGCAAACGGTTCAATTACCCAAGAGTAATGGACATCAATAGCCACTTTTGTCCTTTCCAGTGCCGCATCTGAAACGGTGATAATCTTGGTATTAACCAAACATGTTTGATTCAGTACAATCTGGTTATTTAACACAGCCATGGAAAATCACCATTTTTAATAGGTAAACCATCTATAAATGGGCCATCTATACCATGGCTATGTTAAATAACCAGAGGGTACCTCAATTTTGAGCCATGCCCAAATCCATTCAGAAAATACAGCAAAAATCCAACGGTTCATCATCACGCTGGAAAATCTAACCATTTTGTTTCGTTCGTAGTTTATTTTCCCAGCCTAAAACTTTCATTTATCATGGTGATTTTCCCAGCTAGCCACAGCCATGATGACACCGGAGGGTACCAGTACGCATTGGTTGCGCCGCGCCTGTAGCCAGGACCTGCAACACCGTGTTGTACCTGGAAGCAGCGGTGAGGAGACAAGGGCTACCTTGGAGCTGGTTTCCTAAGTCATGGGGGTACCCAAATCATCAATTTATGGATGGGTTTTCCATGAAAACCATCCAAAATTGTACCGGGGTAGCCCTATTTATAGAACCCCCAACTTGTTTCGTTGACTCATATGGATACCGTGGATAGCCAGTTTGAAGATGGGGATCCAACATTTTTTGGCCACAGGAAGGGTCATGGCACCGACAAAAATCATCAAATGGAAAATGGAAGGTCCATGTGATGTTCATAGGACTGTATGAGGTTTTTGGGGTTTCATTTCAATTTACCCTCTGGTAAACTACCATAGCTATTAAACATTGCCATTTATAGTTGATTTTCCCATTAAAAAATGTGATGTTCCATAGTTATGTTAGTTTACCAGTGGGTAACCAACCAATTTTAGGTTCAGATTGGACTGGTCTGAGGACGTATTTGCAAGCAAACCAACCATGGCTTCTATTTTTTTCTACTGGGCCAATTCTAGAAAAATTCCTTGTACATAGTACCATCGAAAACTGCGTATAGAACCATCGAACACAGCGTATATAACCAACCAAACAGGGGTGAATGATATGTATTTGTATATACACAAGAGGGCAATGGCACTATGAGACATGAAACAAAACTAAAAAAAATATGTTTGACCACATGACATATACGCATAAAGCAATAAAACGGGAACATTAACTAAACAGCAGCCATAGCATTTGTTGATTCAATTGTGCAAAGTTTCACAAATCCTCCCTGTAGTATTATTTTTCTTTCGGATTCATGAAACTTGATTGGAATGAAAAAGTAGAAACCAGAAAACAGAAGAGAACCACAATGTTTTTTAAAGATGCAAAAAACCATAAGACTGAAGAATCTTTCATGTTTCACCATCAACAAACATTAAAAAAAAACAACATCAGTGGATAGAAACCATGGTCCTCAAGGACGCCAGCCCCGATCCGGTGCACATGAGCACGTCATCATTGATGAGAAAGTCTCGGCATTTCCTGAGGAGTCAATGGTTGAAGAGAAAATCTATCTATCTAATATATATATATATATTAACCATCATTAACCATATATATAGGAAACCATGGGTTTTACAATTTTCACCATGAGAAAAAAACAAAAAAAAACATGTTCCTGCAGATGTTCCCTTCGGCCAAGTGTGCGAGGGATTCATCCATGGTGCCCTAGTACTGGTATGGGTTTAAAATGCTTGTCTGCTTGGTAGTTTAGGCCCATGAAAACTTATGAAAGTTGTTTGGAACCATTGTCACTCGGTGTTATGGTAGAACTGGTGGAACTGAACTGGTGAAACTAAAACGACGCCAACAACCAGTTTCTGGTGGAACCCACAAGTTTGTCAATGCAGAAGTGGCTCGAATAAGTTCGAAAAAGAGCGGCTGTGGTAGGTAGTGGGTCTTCGCAAATTATGAGACCTTTCAATGTGCATGACATGCCCAGCGCTTTAACCCACTAGTCAGTCGCTTTGACCCCCTCAATGCTAGGTGGCCTTTGGCCTACCCACCTCGCACTTTCTGGGTATATAGGTGACTATATTTCAAAAATCAGAAGAATATGATAATCCTGATCCCCCTACTGGCCCTACTACTATAACAATCATCTACGGTAACCACTTGCCAAGTTGGGCGAACCATCAATCAGCTGGAAAACAAAACCACCCCCCGGCATTGATTGGGGCCACCCGATTGGCCGGGTGGTTCGTAGCCGTTCATCACTGAATCATCCAACTTACATCAAACCATCCTATGACATCCGTAGAAAATCGGGGTATATACTGGGTATCCTGGAAAAAAGGTAACCATCTCATTTTTCATGATATCCCTATGAAAAATCGTCCTACGGTCCTACCCATGATATAAATCATCCATATTGTCGGTTTGATCCCATGGAAAGCTTCGACCAAGGTGAGTCGTGCTCGTGCCATGAAATTGGATCCTGGTATCATGGGGAGTAGCGGAAAAGAGTGATAGCCAATGCGCAACATAAGATTTGGTGACTTAGGAACCTCCAAATACAACGTTTGGTAAAATAACCAGCACAATGATGATGATGGCTGAACATAAACTGATGTAAAATTATATTGAACTAGAATAATTGTATTTGCAAGACAATGTAAAATCATAATTTAATTAACTAATGCAAAAATAGTTTGTAAAATGATGTCAAACCCTATTAACATCATGATTCATGAATTGATTTTTTTTTCATCTTCTTGGGGGTTGCTACGCATCCACGGCTTAGATTCTACTGAAATAAAAAACGGCCTTAGAACTGTTGGTGGCGAAAACCCTGGGAATAGTGATGCAATGCAACCAATAAATAAATACATATACATATATATATATATAATAAATACATATAAATACATATAAATACATACCTGGGAATAAATCAATCAATAAATAAATACATATATATATATACATATTTGTATATATATATATACATAATATGGGGATGTATCACGGGAAAAACATTGCATACAACCAACAATTTGATGCCTAGCGGATGATATCCCCAGTTCTATGATTCAGTAGGGGCAAAGTCCAGTTTGAAGCCCATGGCTGCGGCTACTCGGACATACCATGCAGCATTCCTTGGGGTTCCTGATTGCAGGGCCTATGTTTGCTTCTTTCAGCTGCCAAAAATGATGGGTATATGTTTGTGAGTAGATACATTCTGCTACATAAATACTTATGTAGATCTGTCTATATCTATCTACTATCTATATATATATATATGCATATGTGTGCATGATGTATGTATATAAAAATGTACATATATGAACATGTACTTTGTATACTTTTGGAACCTTCAGAGTATCTTTACATCCAAATGACCCTTGTCTTGGGGCCTGTGGCCCACAACATCAAATGTTTCGGCGAAGGTTTCAGACTACAATTTTTGCATCTGCATATTTATCTATATATATATATATAGTCATAATCAAACCGAAAGAAAACATATATTTCTGTAAATATATATATACACATGCATATATGTATAGGCCATGGTCAAAACATGGTGTGTATGTACAAACACATCTTTTATGGGAAATGAAAATCCGCCCCATGAATCCATGGAAACAATTGCAACTGATTCACTCGCCTCTAACAGATTCGATGCCCTGTCTGCCATCCGAGCGTCGTGAGGAACCAAAGGGCCTCGCGCCACATTTTTCCTTAGTCCCCAAACCATTTGTTTGTGCCATGGCGCTGGCAATTGTACACTGTACCATATGAGTGGGGACCAAAACTAAGGGTCACAAATGACAAAGGCGGTCATGAACAAAAGTTATCGATTTAGATCGTTGGCTATATCGAATTATATGGTTTTGGGGCATGTCAAACAATGGCTGTTGATTTGGAGATCCATTTCCATTTTTCTCCACAGAATCAACAATAGGGGCACTTCATGCTCAGCAGTCTGCTGTCCACTGTTTGTCTTCAAAGTGCGGAAGGAAATTCCTTCAGAACAGCTTGGTTTTTGCACTGTTGCGCGCCTTCTGCTTTTGCAGATTCTGTTCGTCTGTTTGGATTTTTAGATCACTGCTATATTCAATGGTAGGTTTCAAGGCCAGGCTGGACCACCCCAAGTAGATGTTTCAAGACATTGACGCAAAATTGAAGTGCGCCACTCCAGGAATGGATTGGGTCTCTGGCTGCCCGGGGCCCGTTTTGGCAATTTTTGGTTATCGCTACGTGATCGATTCGGTTATCAATAAATTCATCTGGTAAAATCAGGAAACATGTGACAGATTGTGGCTCAAGCACGGTCTCTGCTTTCCAGAGCCTGTGTCGTGACAGGTTTTGGCAGCAAGTTCTGTGGTCAGACGCGCGTTCTCTAGGCCTTTTGCGAGCACCTCTAGGCCTTTTGGGAGCCCCTGGATTCGCATCCGACAAATAAAAAAAACAATGCATATGAGGTTACTATATGTTACTATACAGTCCCAAATGGCTGCCAAAAACAACAACACCTCTCAACTTCACTATCAAATCACGTTATCGCTTTAAGTAGTTCACCATATCGCTTTCCATGGTTTGGGCAACAGTTTCCACCAAATGACCTCTCATGTAAAGGTTTCTGCATGAACCTTTTATATGGGTCTTTCCTGATATTGAAATTACATGAATGGGGCTAGGGAAGGCAGGGGTTTGTGTTTTCTGGGGTGCATAACTTAAGTTCTTTCAATACTTTATGATTATTCATATGTAGTATTTTATAGTTAACGTATAAAAATTAAAAAAGAAACAATAAAAAAAACTATCAAACACTACTACATGATTGGTAGTAGTACTAGTACTAGTACTAGTACTAGTAGAAGTAGTAATATTAATAAGTGTAGTAGTAGTAGTAGTAGTAGTAGTAGTAGTAGTAGTAGTAGTAGTAGTAGTAGTAGTATAGTAGTAGTAGTAGTCGTCGTCGTCGTCGTCGTCGTCGTCGTAGTCGTAGTAGTCGTCGTACTAGTAGTAGTAATAGAAATAGAAATAGTAGAAATAGTAGTAATAGTAGTAATAGTAGTAATAGTAGTAATAGTAGTAATAGTAGTAATCGTAGTAATATTAGTAATAGTAGTAATAGTAGTAATAGTAGTAATAATAGTAATAGTAGTAGTAGCAGCAGTAGTAGTAGTAGCAGCAGCAGGAGTAGGAGTAGGACTAGGAGTAGTAATATTATTAGGACAGTGGTCGCGCCTCCTTCGGGGTTGTGGCCAGCCCGTTCGCGTGGTCAAATGTCTTGTGCCAAGTCTCAGCACAAAGCTTAACACCATGAAACATCGGGAGGTGGTGACCCAGACCTCAATTCTTCTCATTGACGTCTGAAAGGGGGGTGGTGGCCCCCCCTCGAACCCAAGCTGGGCCAAGGCTCTCTTGCCCTGACCAAAGGCTCGGATCACCTGCGTGAAGGGCATGGGCCGAGGTGACTAATTTTCTGATTTGATATTATATAATATATCTTGGTGATAACAACTAGATTCACTAGATGTGATTATTTAAAATATCTCATAAAAAAATGAACATCCATTGATATAGATAGAACATGATTCTTGAACATGATTATTGGATGAAAAGTTTTAACATAGGTTAGTTTCATCTATTGTTTTCCGAAGCCACAGCTAGTGAGGACTACATAATCTATCACACTAATGAATGAAGCTAGTTCTTATTTGGTGTTTTTTTGATACACTTGTTGGATAGATGTTACTACAAGCAATACTTCGGGGTTCACCCCAGGAATCGTATGTTGGTTAGTCAGTTCACCCAAATTATATACACATAAAACTGGACTTGTAACCCACCTACTATAGATTTTTTAAGGGTGGACTTACAATTACTATCTAACCAATATATATATATATATTGTTAGCTTTAACCCACTTACAAGTCCGTGGGTGGGCCAACAAGTATGAACATGTTGCCCCCATTGTCAGGTTGAACTCCACCCTGCTTCTGGAAACGACCTGGACCTGACAGATATCAGATTCCCCTGCTGTGAAATCTCCATTGTTTGCCTATATGGGCCTATGAGCTTTTGACACAGAGAAGCCCAGTTGGAGTTCAGCGAACCTCAACAACATGTAAACATATGAATATTCATGTAATATTACTAACATTCATACAGTCACTGTTACTAATTTTCATATGTTTTCAATTCAACACCAGTAACCTAACATATTGTGAATATGAGTAACAATGCCAGCTATAAAAATGATGACAAATAAGAAACACTGGTGTTAGGCCAGCTCTGTTGGAACTCGGGCAACTGGGTCTCAAATCTTCGCACATCCATACAAAAGTTGCCATGTATGATTACCACAGGGACGCCATGGTCTGTGCCATGCTTTTAAACACCTGAATGGGATATGATCCCCTCGAGCATTGGTTATTTCCTTACTGTCGGACTCCGGAACACATTGGTGGAATGCAAAGTCCTGAGAATGCACCAACCAATTCAGCGTCCTATATTGGTTACGTCCTTTTGTCCAAAAAATTGGGTACCCATGGGGCCCCCCTAATATCCTATAATAAACCATTGGCAAACCAAGTTTTTCCCTACTGACACGGCTATAAATAGGAGGTAGACCGGATGTTAAACACACACTGGTCAGAGAGCTGCCACATCCTGATGTGCATGGGTAGGACCCAGCAATGATCCTTGTGTCTCCTACTTGATATGAGCTCCATGTCACATCGGAATTGATCAGGTTTACCTTGCACGGAGAAACTGTACTGTATAGGTGTAGAGTCCATAAGCACTGCTCGGGGAACTCTCATAGAGGGAACAAGTAAGGTATTTGTGTCGGGGAAGAATTGAAACCCACCATCGTCTGATTGCACTCCACCACCGACATATTTGATCTCAATGGTTGTTCCAAGAGCAAGATGATGATAAGGAGAGATACGCAAGTAACATTGTTTTTGCTTAAATTCTTACTTTGGTTGCTTCGATGCACGCCAACGGATCTCGCTTGAATAAGGCAAAGTGGGATTCACTGCGATGAGTTGGGGGTTCTCTGGAGTTGGGGCCTCTAAAAAATCTCACTGCACACCCTAACACAGAACCTCAAAAAATTGGTTTTGGACAGCATTATTTTATTGATTCCTGTCAGCTTCAGAACCCATGTTCCAACAATGAGGGGCATATTCCCAACGGATTTCCCAACGGCCTTGGTATAGCAACTTCTTTGCACCTGCAGCCGATGAGGCTCTTCCTCGGCAATGCGAACCTGAAAAAAAAACGAGGGCAAGGAGGGGCCCATTTAGATAGATTAGTGGGTGCATAACTAATATTAATAAAAACTAATTGCGGTCAACGTAGTTCAACCAACAAAAAAGCAATTTAGTTGATATAACCGATTTATATTGGCTAAGTTGGGGTATCACTGTTGGATTTTAAAGGGATATAACGAACTAGCTACTGGGCTGAAACTAAGCCAACTTATGTTCTTAGTGGAGACACCTTGCAAATTACTACAACTGCAGAAATTAAATATAGCAATGATGTCCAATTATCCTTTGTATTAGTCAATATTAGTCATTATTCAACAGTTTGATTGGTGCACTGGGCCAGCTATGCAATACCGGACAAATCCCTTAAAACACGGACACCTTTCAGATGAACTCAGTGTCAGCCAACCGTTCCAACCACGTGATTCCGTCTCCGTACTCGGACAACCCACTGCGAAAGAAGTCAGTCAATCAGTACAGGATGGTGCCCCCCAGTTATAGGTTGGTTTATAAACCCCATTGGGTATGACTATGGAGTTATATCTACCATAAACCATAGTTAAGCCACTTAAAAGGCAACAAGAGCCATGTAACGAGAGAATTTACAGGAAAAATGCCGTGCCGCTACTGTAAGAACCCCTCAGTGTGGACACACTGCTTAGGGGAATTTCGGTCATCCCCTCCCTATTTCTAAACCTTCCCTGAATAAGAAAAAAACGAATCAAATGTCTTGGAAAATTCCAGAATGGTCAATTTGAGTTTTACTTGACCTCTTTCGAAAACAATCTAAAAAAACAAGGTCCAATTTGCAGGTTCTATACCCCATAATACTAAAAACTAGTTCACCCCGGAGTGTTTTTTTGAGGGTCCGTCTTTTGAAATCGACTTGTTATTTTTTTTAATTCAAGTTTTGAATTCAAAATTAATACGGGACAGCATCGAAATCTAATTTTTGGCAAGATGTTCTTATCAGATTTTGAAAAGGAATTTGAGCAATTTTGCAATCGAAAATGTGAGTTCCCAAAAAATGATTTTAACTTTAATCTTAGGGGAAAAATCGAAATCTAAGTTTGGCAGAACAGCCCAGGCTGAAATTCAGGATGAGAAGGACAGTCGCCTGGTGCAGTGTCTCCTCCCGCTGTAAACAGCTTGACACTGTGAGATTTATAACCTGGATGAGTACCACCACCAGGTTCGCCGCCACGTACTTGCCATATTCGTGGCTGAACCACTGGCCGGTGGTGCTGTTGCTGTGTGGGGGACGGGTTGTAGTCCCGGCCACGACAACGGACAGTACCGCCGAAAGCGCCAGTGTTCCGTCGGCGGCAACCTCACGTCCGTACGTCAGTACGAGAGTGACCGTCAAGGCAACGTAGGCACACACCAAAGTGTTGGCCAAGCCCAGTCTAGTTGCTCGCTGCGACGGTGTTAGCCTGCTTGTGTCCATCACGACTCCTGCCTTGACTGCATAAGCCACGGCGGTCATGCAGAAGCTCAGAACAAAATAAAGCAAATCTTGGTTGGAAAGAAACAATCTACTCCCTTGACCCGAATACTAAACGCACCCTTGCCCAAACAATAAAACTAGGGGTAGTTTTTGTTATTATTGCTGTATGTATATTCGGGGGACGGGGGAGAAGTGCCCTAATATTATTTTTTTTGATTGCAGAATCGATCAGATTAAAATGCACTTCAATCATTGCCAAAATTGGGTTTTCAAGCCTTCCCCTAATATGGAATATCGAGCCTTACGTTAAGGAACTAATATTGTCGTTTCAAAATCAATCAGTTCCTGATTAAAATCTAGCTCAAATATTAGCAACCATTACTCATCATGACTCCATGTTCAAACAAACCCACATGTCATTATCCGCATATTTGACATAATTAAAACATTGAACCACACAAAATTCGGTGTGTGGAACCACCCGGTAATCAAACATGGCACTGGAACTATATCATGCCCACATGGTTTTCCCAGCCATAACCCCCCATTTAGTTCCAGGATTTCCCAGGAATAGCCATGTTTGACGCCGGAGGTAGCACTCAGTATTTTGATACCGTACTATATCCCCATGAACTCCTATTAAAGATCTAGTCGCTACCATCAAACCACCTTTTCTACCCCCATTTCTCCCTGCGTACCAGCTCTTTGAGCCCTTTGGCACGCCGTCGCGCAGGTTCTCGCAAGATCCTCGGGCACAGCGCGAGCGCGTGAAAGGAGGACGCGGCGAAAGAACGTGGCCTATAGGACATCCAAATCAATCGGTTATAATGGGTTCAACATGGTTCAACCAAAAATTCATGCTGAAATGGATTGAAATGGTATTTTTACTAAACATTTATCATCACAGATGGCGTGACTTTTGGATTTTCACGGGGATTCCGGGATTCAAGGGGAATCAAATAATTTGTTCAATCACTTCCCGATATTTTAACACATGTGGGGTATGCTGGATATAGCCAACTGAACGTGGTACTTGGGGAGCTACCCTTTGGTAATTTAACAGGTTGCTATGGTAGAGATGGCCCATATTGTTCGATGATTTACATTGATTTACCTATTCAAAATGTTGATTTCCAAATTCAAATTGCCAGAGGGTTAGGGCAATCAACACAGACCTTGGCCCAGATATATAATTAGCACCATCTGGCAAAGTCTTTCTTGGTTGGGGGGATGGTTTTGGCAAGTTGGTTCTGACGGCCGAAACCCAAATATATTCTCGCATTTCCAGCCACGAATTAACCAATACGATCTACAAGAGCATTTAGCGAGCTGACAACTTTCTACTAGCATGAATCTTTTGCTGGAATCGTGTTTAGCAACTTCAATTGTTAGAATTTTCAGGATTCAAACTCACTACAGGTCCTCAGGTTTGCATCAGTTGATGTTGCAAGGGCATAAGGGCCAAGGTATCCATGCAGGATACTTCGAATTGGCAGCCAAAATTTGGTATGTGTGTACGTATGTATGCAAGCATTTAGGTATGTAAATATGCAAGTATCGGTTTGAACAGGGCAGCGGAAAGGAATGCTTGAACATAAGCCTTTGCGTTTGCTATGGTCTACTCATTTGCGCAGCCAGTATTCGCTTCAATTCAATTGATGTTGAGCATTCAGCTTTAGTGGGCAAGCTGGGAATTTTCACTTCACGGTTAATTAGTGGCTTGCCAACACAGCGCAACACATATGATATATGCAACCTAACAATAGCAGCGCCGAAAAAGATTACAAAAATTACATGCTGCACTTTTCAGGTGCCGAAGGAAACTTTCGCAGAGCTTTTCATACACTCCCTGCATCGTTCAACATGGACACATGTACTTAACCAATCACACAGCACAGCAGCAGAACACATAGCGCTCAATGATGTCTACACTGACAGCAAACAACACACTCCCCTTACTCTGCAAGTGCATCCGATGCCAATCCATTTTGCCGCTCTTCGCACAAATTTGAACAGCAAACTACAGCAATCTTTCCTGGGTAAGCACAATCTTATTAAGCTTGGCCTCTGAGCATGACTTCAAAGCTTGCATGCCTATGGGCCAGGCCAGTCACGCAGGCGACACGGACTTTGCCGGAGGCGGTATATGCATAGAGCCAGTAGGATAGCATCGCGCAAATGTCCTGCGATGTGGTAGGTGTTCTGGTCTGTGTCCGGTTGCTGCGCGCGGCCGGTCCTGAGATGTGGCCCGCCTGTTGGCTGTCATTGCCAGCACGAAACACCCTGAAGAACATACAGAGATAAAACAATACATGCATATAGCACCGGAAACAGCTTCACCCGGCCGGTCACCGTATGTATGTATGTATGCATGCCTGCACGTATGTATCTATATATATATATATAAATATGTGTGTGTGTGTCTGTATGTAGGTAGGTAGGTAGGTAGGTGGGTAGGTAGATAGGTACTTACCAGTAGTACCGCACAAGGCGGTGGCGGAAGTTTCAAAAATAGGAAACCTATAGGAAAGGTTGGTTGTTGAGAATCAGGGAATGACAGAGCGAAGCCACTGATGGAGCGACAGGTCTCCTCTCTTTCTCTCTCTCTCTCTCTCTTTCTTTCTTTCTGTCTGTCTGTCTGTCTATCTTTCTTTCTTTCTTTCTTTCTTTCTCTTTCTCTGATTATTTACCTACCTACCTACCTACCTACCTAACGATCTATCTATCTAGCTACCTAGCTACCTAGCTACCTATCTATCTATCTATCTATCTCTATCTATCTATCTATCTATCTATCTATCTATCTATCTATATCTATCTCTATATCTATCTCTATATCTATCTCTATATCTATATCTATATCTATATCTATATCTATCTATCTATCTATCTATCTGTCTAGCCATCTATCTATCCATCTATCTAGCTATCTATCTATCTAGCTATCTATCTATCTATCTATCCATCCATCTATCTATCTATCTCTCTCTCTATCCCTCTATCTCTCTATCTCTCTCTCTCTCTCTCTTTCATCTGTCTATCTGTCTAGCTGACTACCTGTCTATCTGTCTATCTATCTATCTGTCTATCTGTCTACCTGTCTATCTGTGGTGCAGTGTCATTCAGTGTAATGTAGTGAAGTGTAATGTAGTGTAGTGTAGTGTAATGCAGTGTAGTGTAGTGTAATGTACTGTAGTGTAGTGTAATTTAGTGTTGTGGAGTGTAGTGGAGTGTAGTTGTGTAGTTGTAGTTGCAGTGTTGTGGAGTGTAGTGTAGTGTAATGTAGTGAAGTGTAGTGGAAGGTAGTGTCGTGTAGCGGAGTGTAGTTTAGTGTAATGTAGTGAAGTGTAGTGGAAGGTAGTGTCGTGTAGTGTAATGTAGTGTAGTGTAGTGGAGTGTCGTGTAGTGTAATGTAGTGTAATTTAGTGAGGTGGAGTGTAATTTAGTGTAGTGGAGTGTAGTGGAGTGTAGTTGTAGTTGTAGTGTTGTGGAGTGTAGTGTAGTGTAATGTAGTGAAGTGTAGTGGAAGGTAGTATAGTGTAATGTAGTGTAGTGAAGTGGAGTGTAGTGTAGTGTAATGTAGTGTAGTGTAATGTAGTGTAATGTAGTGTAGTGGAAGGTAGTGTAGTGTAATGTAATGTAGTGGAGTGTAGTGTAGTGTAATGTAAATTGAGTATAGTTGAGTGTAGTGTATCGGAGTGTAGTGTGGTGTAGTGGTGGTTGTAATTGAAAATGCTACAAAACCCTCAACTTTTGCTCACTTCTGACCAAAAGCACAATCCCTTGCGCATGACACGCGAAGCGACATCTGAACTTCCAAAAGTGGTCCGATCCCCTGGTGTTTTGAACATTTTGACTTCGAAATGTGCTTCGCGCCACAACGGCGTGCACTTTTTCGACATCTGAACCTCCAAAAGTGGTCCGAGAATGGTGTGTTTTGTGCATTTTGACTTGGAAACGCGCTTCGCGCCACAACGGCGTGCACTTTTTCGACATCGCAACTTCCAAAGGTGGTCCGAACCCCTAGTGTTTTTAACATTTTGACTTGGAAATGTGCTTCGCGCCACAACGGCGTGCTCATCTGGCCTGCTGGCTCCGCACCCGCCGCTTCAGCGAGCCTACTTTTCGACCCTCCGGAGCCTCAAATCATTGGAAAAACACAGCGTTTCGCGACTTTCCTACCTTTTCGCGCATCTGCATCTTCTTTCTTCTGACTCTTTCTCTTCTACTCTTCTCTCTTCTAATCTTTTCCCTTCTCTCTGCCTTTGCCCTGCTCTGCTTTTCATCTGTCCATATTGTCGGAAGTTTGAGTTCTAAACTTCCTTCGACTACTTACGAGAACAAGTTAGATGTAGATGCAAAATACATTGCGAGAAAACATGGTTTGTATAATGTATATATATATATATATGTAAGTGGGTCATGAACAACATATCGTCAACACAATTTTGTAAACTATATATCATCATCAAGTCGTAGGTGGTGTCTGCAGCTAGGGGCCGGCACACTGAGGTATTCACGGATTCTGGTAGTCCCTTCTTCAATAAGGGAGCCATTAAACATAAATTTGCCCAGAAAGATTCACCACATGGTGTACAAGATTCACTTGATGCAATTACTTGCTAGTGAAAACCGGGGAATTTTTACACCCAGTTCTAACTGGACTAACTCTACATACCCAACTGATAACTGGAGTTTTGACCCACTTAATAGCTCGGACACAAGGTTTGTTCCTGAATTCGTTATCAAACCTATCTATTTCCTGCAGATTTATCCTCAACCTCCCAGTGATGCTGGTGTCTTGGTTGCTGAAAAACGGCAGCCACCAATCATCGTACGTGGGTAATTCATTTAGCTTCACCCAATCCCCGAAAATTGTGTATATTGTGTATCTATATTTCATGTTGTATACATGCACATATATATATATATATATTGTCCGACCAGATATCTTCAGCAATGGTGCTTACGCCAAAATGTAATGATACAATTAAGATACACCCTTGGATTTTGAAGTACCCTATTTTCAAACAGTTTGCCAAGCCATCATGTGGTTGGACAACTCAATGGCTCCAAGCGGCTCTGTCCTCACCACTGGATTAACCCCACTTCTCCCGTATTCCTCCAAAAAGGGTGGGCTTCCCGAAATGGGCCATTTCTTGAGCGCCGTTAACCGCTTCAAAAACATGTGGTACATAATGATCATCCCTGAACTACCCCCATTGCAGCAGCAAAAAAACATCTGCTTGCCAAGGAACTGATTCACTTCTTTGCTCTTCAGGATTTGAGGCATCGCCTTGAGCGAAAGCAAGGTGGTTGTTTCTGATTTTTAAGGCCCGAATTAATGGCCATCAAAAAAAGAATAAATGTGAAACATGGATTTGGCATAGCAGAGCGTATTTTCAGACACGACAATATCTACGTGTATGGTCTGAGATGTTGACATGGTTCATGTCAAGTTAGGATTGATCATCCACTAGGGATTAATCAACACCCACACAGAAAAATTGTGTTGGCAATACTACAATGGGTTGGTTCGCCCTGATTCAAAAACGGGGGGAATCACCCGATTAATCGACCCCCCACACACACATAAAATCCCACACAAAATCTCCTTATGTTTTAGTTTGTCTTCAACAAGTAGTCATGCTGGCTGAATTTCCTGCTTCTCATGGAAACTGATGAACCCTTGCTGTCCCCAACTCTTCCCCCCATGCTGCTCATTGCTCTCTTTTTTCACAGCACAGCTGCTCCCTGACTCTGATCACAAAGATTCTCCAATAAGGTTTCTGCTGGCTCAACACAAACTACAATCATACGAGTTGAGTAATTAATTTGTTGCATTATCACCCGCCTTTTTGTGACTTTGCAGCCACAGGCTTGAGACTTTTCAGTCACAGACTTGTGACGTTGCAATCACAGGCTCAGTCTTGCAGTCTTGGTTCAAACCCAATGCTTGACAATAAGAAAAAAACATATTTCCCAAATGATCAATTTCTTTATTAATGTCCTTTTAGAACCATTACTTTGAGAAGCTTCCAAAGGGTACCCCTCATGAGCTCATGTCCCCCCAAATGATAGGCAGGGTGAAACCGGTGAAACCCTAATTAATCAACGCCCTTGGCCCCTTTGGATTTCTTGGTTTAAGAGGAAAATCAATTGAAATTTGATTGGTATTATATAATTGAAACTGAAATCCTTACTAATCTGTTGATTTCTAGGTTTAAAAGGAAAACAAACTGAACGTATATTGGTATATATTGGATTATATTGGTATCAATTGAAATCCTTACTAATCTTCAGATTTCTTTCACACAGACCCTTTGGCATCCTGTGTCCTTCCTAAAAGCGTCTGCCCCATCTAGGTATTCGATATCGGACTCCTGGAATTTCTCCTTTTCATTTCGCTGGATAACCTTCTCCAGCTCTTCATTGACGATTTGAAGCTGATAGCCTGGCTTTCTAGTAATTGCTTCAGCACTCCGGACACAGTGATGTTTCCTTGGCGGAACACTGTGGTAGCTGGCAAGCCTTCGGCTGTCAGCATCCATCCCAGAGGGATTTTCTTGAGGTTGCCTTTGCCGCCAGAGAGCTGCCTTCAACCATACCAGGCAACTTGGAGGCACCAATATACCAGTCAGATTCGCTGAACTCACCCAGGTAGATTGGTATCAATTGAAATCCTTACTCATCTGTAGATTTCTTCTAGGTTTAAAAGGACAACCATTTGAAAGTAGATTGATATCAATTGAAATTCTTACTAATCTGTAGATTTCTTCTAGGTTTTAAAGGGAAAATAATTTGAAAGTAGATTGATATCAATTATAAGTTGATCTCTTATGACTTCAACTTAGGTCAATTATTTTGGAGAAGAACCGTAGCAGAACCTTCTCCCTAGGTATCTACCTTCTGGGGGGGTGAACAATCTTAACTTGACATTACATCCAATGACACTATAAATATGTTGGCCGCTGCATTGCCTTTTGAACCAAACAAAAGGCAAAGCGGGCGGCTAACCAAACAATGCTCAGTGAATTATACATTTTCTTCATGTCTCCTCACATTGGTAGATTCTGATCATTTTCTGTCTGCTTCCCGTTGACTTTGGGGTCGCTGGGTTGATCATATCATGTTGCCCTTCGGTGGTCAAATCTGAAGATGAAAAACCAACAAGAAAATAATGCAAATTTAGATAAATTTAGTGAGTCTTCAATTCTGATTATTCCCATATTCAAACTCGACTACTGGAGGGTATATCACTTTGATTGAAGGGAAAAGCATTGATTTCCAGAACATCTTTATGTCCAGTTCCAAAGGGTTTTCGATCCAAATCGTACAACACTGGTTGTAGTTTTAACCATCTTGAAACATATTAGTCAATGGGAAGGATTATCCCATATATTATGGAAAATACAAAATGTTCCAAACCACCAACCAGAACAGGTTACTATTAAATACGGCCTTCTTGGTATTGGATTTACCATGATTTACCCACCATGGTTTTATCTGACAATACGATGTTCAATCCAGTTTTCCCCCCTGGCAATCTCTGACAATCCAACACTAATGATGTGTTTCCTGTGCTGTTGAACACTGGAGATCTTTCAGCTGATGTCAACCCCAGATTGATTTAAAATAAACACCCCTGTGGCTGTAAAAAAACTACAGTAACATCTTAGTAACAACAAACTTCTATATGGGTATGGATCAATACCTATTATATACCATTTTTACGGGAATTAACATCCATTTACCAGCTATTTTGATGTGAACAAAAGGGGTACAAGCTTTTGCCACACTGCCATATCTGAAAATCCCTTTGTCCAAAAGCCATCATTTCCAGCACTTCTTGTGGCGCTAAGCCCAACACCTGCACCATGCTGAAAGCAGCTTGAAGGCCCTGTGCCAGGCCGTGGTGCCGGAAAGCGCGTCATCTGGGCGGCGGTGTTTTGCACCACACCCCAATCACTGGGGACCGAGGTACCCTCGAGGTACCCTGGAAAAACTTGTGTTTTATCCCATAATTTGAATACATTTACATATTTTTACATGTTTTAATGTATTTGGCAGGGTCTAGATATACCAAATTATACCACCCCCCCAAAATAATCCGAAATAGACTTTTTTTTTCACGCAGGATAAATGACCACCTAGGATGACCCCCCCCAACACAGTACATCCAACACAGTACATCCAACGGAAACGTGTTTCTAGAAAATTGACGGACCCCTAATAGTTATACCCTATAACAATAGTTAGCTATAAAAGCTATATTACAAATATACTAGTAATTGCTTGCAAAGCAATAGATGGGAAGACAAGGATATACCCTGTGGGAATCTAACATACCCATGGAAAACCTCACATGTTCCATGGCTATATCAAACTACAAGAGGCTAACAGTAGATGATTGTACTCATGACAAATCCAATTACCAGGTCTCCAACTGGTGATCGTTTTTTGACGAGGGGGTGATATACTGTATATAATTATATACGTTTATAAATAATGTGTATATATATATGTATACATATATATATATATACATAGGTGTATGAGTAGCACACAAAACTATATGTTAAATTTAGTGCCATGCACAGTTCAGGGTCGTCCCCTATCGGTTATGAGGGTTTTGTGCAACCTCGCACAGGCCAAGGCGAAGCAAGACTAAATTAGTATTACACTAATTTTCTCGCTTTCTCATATATATATATATATAAAGTATCCGAACAAGAGGTAGGACATGTTAAAACATGATGTCTATCAAGTGCTGTGGCTCCACAACATGAAGGACCTAGTGGCAGTTTTTGAATTACCTCAAACCGTACGGGTTTGTCTGCACGATTGAGTTCAAAGACACACCCGCATAAAATCAATGTTGTTGTTCTCTATGTATCCCATGATATCACACACAATATTCCCATAATATGCTTTGTTTGATACATCTTTGGGGTTAATTTATGTAAGTTTTTCTTTCAAAATGTTCAAAACGTGTACTGCACATCACAAATGGCATTTTTGAAGATCGCAGGTCCATCCCACCAAAAACACCTCCAAAGCTCTCGGTCGACCAGAGTTGCCATTGGATGTTTAAAGCGCCGAGAAGTCAGAGTCATATATCTCATCTGCGTGTTGATCCACTGCTAAGGGGGGTTAAATGGGTTTAATCTACGGGTGTTGTGGGAAGCCAGACACAACAGACGGTATTTGAAGCTTGCAATACTGCAGAGATCTGCAGAGTATGAACGCGAGAATAAGATGTGCTGATCATTGCTGATCTGGCAGTGTGTCAAAACCTTGTACCCCTGTAGTTCACATCAAAAAAGCTGGGATTTATGGATGTTCATCCCCCTAAAAATGGTATATAATAGGTATTGATCCATACCCATCTGTATTGTTTGACTGCTGGAGGTAACGTGATTCAAAGCCGGCACCTCGTCTAGTCTAGGGGCCAACCGTGGGACAATATAACCCAAGCTTGCAACTTCACCGCTGGAAAACCCATCATTCAATACTATGTTAATATATAGCATGTTTGTAGGAAAACCATGGAGGTTCAATTTTTCTGGAAGATGCATGAGATCTGTTGAGTATTTTTGTACATGGCAGTGAGTAGATGCATTTGCCTAGCTTGGCATCCGCTTGAAGAAAGCCAAAAAAACAAGAGTCCGATGTCTGTTTCCCAAAACTCAAGGCTTATTTTAGCCGCCAAAAGCGTAAAAGAAACATGAAGAAACCATGGTGAAACCTGAGCAAAAATAGGAACATGCTGACAAATGTCGAAGAGCACTTGGAAAAGTCTGAAACCGTAAATATAAAGATATATATATATATATAAGTGATGATAGTCTATATTGTCAAAACGTCTTTTTAAACGTTGGAATGTTGGAACCATTGTTTCGGAAACAGCTCACGCCACTCAAACCTTGGCCCTCCGCGCTGCATCCTTTTTCCGAAGCATCATAAATCATCAGACTACTCTAAGGATCCTTGGTGAACCAGCCAGGGACCCACTAAATTTCCAGCCATAAGATCTTTTGTACATGGTAGGAATTTCAGCGCGAGTGGAGGATGGATTCTGAATGCACGATATAAAGATTCAAAAAGACATTCACACACAGATACATGAGTATATTCTTGTGTATATGACAAGCCCGTTGGATGATTCCCGCTGGGTAAACAAGACTTAGGAATCTGTTCTTTCCCAGGCATGGTGAACGAGGGACACCTGTTTTAGTTTTTTTTGGTCCCATCCGAGTACGACTACGCAGTCTTTTGTGGGTCTGACAAAAAAAACACAAAAAGAACGTACCAACAAACCCAATAATTATCATGGACGCTTTGCAGAGAAATTGCAAATATTGGGTGTAGATTGTATATATAATTTAGGTATATGCGACCCTGTTCCTGCACAAACTCATGAAGCTGATCGACTGAGTAAGACAACAACAACATCAGAATTCATATCCTAATGTTTGTTTAACGCTAGCTCTGTTCAAGCTTGTTCTGACTAATGGATGTTTAGTCATATGAATGCTAATTGATTGGTACTTCTATTGATTTCTAATTTCTGATGCTTAGTCATACAATAGTTCCGACCTCGTTTATCATATCCACTTCTCCATCCCGCACTGGATGTAACGCGTGGAACATCATCAGCAGCACGCTGATGCCTACAGTGAGGGACACTGAAACATGTTGGCAATCACGGCAATGACACATGCAGATCTACTAGTACTGTATATATGTATATATGCTACATATACTGTGTTATATTGATAGATTCAATGCCACCCCCTTACTTAACTCGTCCCGTTGTGTATATTATGTATATAAATGAATATACAGTAAATTGCATATATATATATATATATATTTGCAATAATATGTGCATAACATCCAGGAATCTTCCAACTCCCCCACGCATGTCAACCTCCAGCCTGCGCGCCCTTTTGTGAGTTGCGCCTATTCTGGTGCACCTTGGACAAAATTCATGGATTCATTGGGGGAAACAAAGGAATTTATACATATATCATGTAAATATATATATATATACAATTGTACCCACAAAACGTGATAGAACAGTATATGAGTTATCAGTATGTTAGTAGGGTTTTACTTTTCCATCTTTGTGAGGTTTGCTATAATAATTATAACATATGGAAACCATGGCGGAATTGTTGCCAACCTGATGGGAATGTTCTACCAGCAATTGCTTAATATTGTGTTTGCCAGCAAACATTCGGATGTTTATCTAAGGTGTTTGCCAGCAAATCTCAACAACAGAACATAAACAGCTATGAGTACCATGGCGATTATACTAGATTGTTCGCTGAATTTAGTAGCTGACAACCTACAATCTGTTCAGCTTATAACCTGTTTACGCCCAAGTCAGAAACGGACTAACCCTACCCATATACCCGGCATTAACCCAGCTTTGCAACCCAACAATAGTGGTTCAGTGGTTCAAGTCAAGGTTCTAGGAATCTAGGCTTACATTCCGGTGTTTGCTGCCTTACAGTGAGGCACCAGTCCCAGACTCAGACCCAGAGATTGAAACCCAAGAAGCACTGCATTTGGGAATATTATGGAATATTCCCTCTTAAAACCAGAAAACAAAGTTATATATGTTACATTCATTCAGTTTTATGACCTCTTTGCTCCGTTGGATGATGAATCATATAGTTTCATGTTTGTCTTCGAGTAAAACAGACCTAAAGAAATGGACAATCCCCGGTAACATTATCTATACATTAATATTTCGGGGATACCTATCTATTCCATGATAATTACAGTATAGACTACGGTAACTACATTTAAATACTTACAGATTTTAAACTATGCGAACTGGTATTTTATACTACCTCCTGGGCCTCGCGGTCTGGCCCGCCCTCCACATATGTAAATGTCGTTACCGTATATACAAACAGAGATGTTCATGCTTCACAATGGAGGAAACAAATGTGGATTTGCCTGAACATTTGATACTGGCGATTTGAAGGTATTTTGCATGGTATGGGCGCCCATTTTCAAACTAACAAGTCGGTAGGTAAAGCCAAAGTAAAACCAACACTTTATTCGGCTTAAAAAATCCGTTGATAAATGATGTTTCTTTTAAACCCCCATTTAGTTCGAGGATTTTCCAGCTTGTTTGAGGTGTGTTTGGACCGTTTGGACCCCAACAAAGTCTGGCCGAACATGTGGCAGTGGGAAACAACAAGAAGGGCATCATCAAGCGGAATCACATATGATATTCACGTATATATGTAATTCGACATAGCCATGGAAAATTAAGCCATTTGTAGATGGTTTACCTATCATAGCCATCTTCCATGGCAAATTGTTAGATTGCCATATAGACATGTAGGGTACATATATATATATTGTATATATATATATATATATGTATATGTATATATATATATATGTATATATGTTTATATATATAAATATATACACATTCATTTATGTATTTATTTATTTATTATATACCGTATTATATACCCTCTATGTAAATATATATATATTTATTTATTATACCCTCTAGTTATGTTACATAGCTATGGCAAATGACCCATATATATAATGATGATTTACCTATCAAACTGGTGATTCTCCAGTTCACCAAGTTAAATTACCAGAATGTATATACGCATTCACCACTAAAAGAACACCATTTAAATAGGAATATCTTCGAACACATTGCACATTCCATCTACTTCAGGACCGTCAGGACCACTATGTCTATGTGTATATATATATATATGTGTATATATATATACATATAATATATATATATACCTATACATATTATATCCATAGTTCATAGGTTTCCCTGCTATGGATTGATCATCATAATCCCCACTAGTTATTTAGATT